GGCCAGAGCGAGGGGCGTCTTGTACGTGCTCTGGGAGGATCTTAAGAGGGAGAACGTTTGGCTCGAAACCCAGCCTCAATAGCTCTACTATAGATACGATTGACCGTACGAGGATGAACATCAGTAAGTTCAGAGATCTGTGATGTAGACTTGCCAACAGAAGGTGACTTTAACGCCACAATTAAGGTGCGGGTGTAAGGATCAGTATTAGGAGACATTGTAACGATAGATACAGACAAATCGTACAGCTACTCAGCTCAAAGGTGGGAGTTGCGCCAAGAAGAGTTATGCCGAAGCGCCGAGATTAGCGTGGGACAAAACTTTTGTGAGGCACCTCCGTACTGGCACTGTATCCGGCCTTCGTGGACATGGCCAGCAGCGAGTCAGCGCCGCACAGGCGCCGTAAGCGAATTGCGCCGTCACCGTTGTTGTGCATCTGGGCACCGGGGAATCGAGTATTACAGCAACAGCCCAGGCTATCGATACGCCACGGCCATTGTCCCGATCGGGAACAGGCCAAGATACACCAGCGCCGAGCAGCAGCAGCCACGCGGGGAAGCAGCGTGGCCCGGTGATGCAAAAAAACGGTGCGCGCCATGTGATTTGGTAGCGACAAGATGACATACATACGTAGACAGGCCTGTAGCCGCAAAGTACAGGCAAACACACGCACACATGGATTTAACCACGTTCCACCATCATCCATTAGGCCATTATAGTACACAGCTACAGCATGCGGGCGGCACCCGAGGGTACACATGTAGACATCCATCCAGAACGAGCCAGAGGCTCCCTACCCTAACCAGTTGAATACAGAATATAAAAAAAAGGTCGTGTAACGCTGTACCACCGACGGGTATAATAAAGCGCTGACGACAATATATGCCAGCCGCAGAAATGCAATTGGCTCGACGGCCGCAAAATATGTAATAAGACAATATGTGATGGTGAAGAGTAATATGCGTGTATGATCGTGGCACCCGTGTAAATGCGATGGCTGTTTGCTTGGTAAACGCCGAAGATGCAGAAAGGTTGTGTCCCAAAGACGATACCGGCGGTATCAAGTAAGTTTGGCGAAGAGAAGACATTACGTAGTAGGTGGGTGGTCGTTGTCTCGGTAAGGCGGCTTAAGCATTTGCCATCAAGGCCTTGACCTTTTCGCGTTCGGCAACAATTTCAGCTTGCAGTCCTCTGGTCTGCCTCATGGCCTCGTCCCTACCAGCAAAATTAGTCATGGCGTTAAAAAAAAGTTTTTTGGATGCAAACGACGTACCTCTCAAACTGCAAGTCTGCAACCTCCATCTGCGCAATGTTCATGCGACCAACAACCTCCTGCATTTCGTGATCAGCGTCACGGAGAGCCTTTTCGAGCTCCTCGACACGCTTCTCAAGCATCTCCGTCTTGGTGGCTTCAGCAAATGTCATGGCCGGTCCGCTACTCGTCACCCCGAGACGTGGTGATTTCTGCGAAAAGACGGGCGAAGAGGGCAGCTTGGGCGAGAAGGCCGCAGGGCTGAGCAGGCCAGACTTGGTGCGGCGCAGGTGGTTCGTGTGGCCCTCCTTCAGGGCCTGTACTTCGTCTTCGTGACGGGAAATGGCCTCTTCCGACGACTGCTGGGCAAGCATGACCTTGTCCTCGGCCGCCTTGAGCCTCTTTTCGAGCAGGATGATTTGTTCCGCCGACTTTTGTTGCTCCAGCTCGCCACGAGTAATTGCCTCAGTAAGGCGTTGTCGTAGAGCGCTATTAGCCGTCAGCTGACGTTGGATCTTGTCAGAGAGTTCGTCCATTCGAGTAGTTGCAGCGAACAGGTCGCTACTAAGCTTCTGTTCCTTGCCGAGATGCTCCATCTCAGATTGCTGCAAGGCACGCGCTTGCTGGCGGTATTGTTCCGCTTCCTTCTGGGCGTAGTCACGCTCAGCCTCTGCGTCGGAGATGCTCTGCTTCAACAAGTCGAGCGTCCTCTGGGTTTCGGCACTAGCGGCGCCGAGTGAGTCTCCATCACTTGTTTCAAGCTGCTTGACGCGAGCAAGGGACAGTGCATGCGTAGTTCGCAGCTCGTTGTAAGCCTTGTCCAAGGCTAGAGGTTCGTTGTCGATGCGAATCTCAGGTATCGTAATGTCGTGTTCTCGGAGGAGCTCACGGAGTGAGCCTGTTTCTTGCTGGGCGCGGTCCAGGTCCATTCGCAATCCGCCCAGACCCTTTTCGCACTGCCATTTTTGCTCGAGGGCTTCGTCAGCACGGCGTCGAAGGGCATCGACCTCTCGTCGCAGACCCGTCACCTCCTGGTGGAACGCGGTGCGTCGAGGGGTGAGGTTCAGAGCGGCATCCCTTTCGGCCTCGACCTCCTTGATGCGTCGCTGGAACTCCTTTTGCTGCAACTCCTGTCGTTGTAGTAGGTGTTTGAGTGCCTTGTGGAGTGCATCTCGCTGCTCCTCTAAATCCTTCATTGGGTTGCTGGCGGTCGACGCAGCAACAGGAGACATATCACCTGATCTGTCTTTGACCGAGTTGGACCGTGACAGCGAGCCCCTTTTGTTGAGTCCAGCTGAGCTGCGAGCCAGAGAGTTTGAGCGCGTCAGACCAACACGCATGGGCGGTGGAGGCGCAATGTCTGCTTCCTCTGCAATGGACTGGAATTGCACCGGCTGCTGCTGCTGTTGCTGCTTTCGTGCAGCCATGAGGGACTCGTTCTCAGCTCGTAGTTGTTGTATTTCTTGTTGCATACGGCTCGACTCGTACACGAGTTTTTCGGTGTCAGCGGCATCCGCCTCGAGGACTTCGAGGCGTGCCCTGAGCTGTGGGACGATTTCATCTCGTAGGTTGTCGGCCTCGTTGCGGTGCTTCTCGAGCTCTTCGCGAAGAGCTGTCAGGAGGTCTTCAAAGTTCTCCTTGACTTGTCGTTCTTCCGCCAACCGCCTCTTTGCATCTTCGAGCGACAGTGAGAGCTCTTTGACTTTGGGTGTCTCAACGAAGGAGCCGGCTCTCGACTTCTCACTGACCTGATCCTCAAGCTGCTGCACCTGCTCTTCCAGGTCTCTGCGTCGACGAAGCTCTTCTTGTAAGCGTTCGGCCATGCGCACCTTGAGTGTTGCGCGCTCCTGCTCGGCCTTTCTTCGCTGCGTGTCCAGCTCTTCTAGCTTAGACTCTGGATCGGTAATGGGAAATCGGATAGAGCTGGTGCCGGAGTCTGAGTAGTAGTCACTAGTCCGTCGGTTGTCAGCCACGCCTGTGGAACTCTCGGCCTTCCAGCGTTCGACCTCATCCTCCAACTCCATTTCTCTTTGGATCGAGGCGGCGAGTTCGGAGCTGACTTCGCGCAGCTCGCGCTCCAGCTCCTCGACGTGGGCGTTCATTTGGGGCGATGATGATAAAAGGGGTGTTCCGGGAATGTTGAAGTACGAATTCATGGAGTTGGCGGCGGGTATGTCAAGGCCGTTGGGCTTGGCCTTGGTGGCGCCGCTAGTTTTGCTGTAGCGTTGGGGGTCGGGAGACGAGTTGTTGGAGAAGGCTGTGGCCGGCGAGTCTGCGTCGTTTTGCGGGCGCGAATTCCAGCCAAAGAAAGAGGTGAAGCCTCCTCCTACGGGTGATTTAGGCTTGCCGCCTTGTTTTGCTCGGGGGTCGTTTTCGGTGGTGTAAGAATAGCCGTCCATCAAGTCGTCCGTGACGCCGTTCGAGTCGAGTTTGCGTTGTTGTATCTGTGAATTCGTATTGTTGTACAATGGCATAACGGGTAGGGTAGGAGACCGGGCGGGTGGTCCGCTGATACCGAAAGCCCTCAGCGCCTCGGTCCTGCTTTGTCGCTGGGCTTGTGAGGTGCTGGCTGCGCGATCATGCCTAGGGGCAGACGGAGCGGCGGCGGCGGCGGCGGCGGCAGCTTGGGGCGTGGGGTAGGGTTGTAATGGCTGAGGCGTGCTCCCGATCAGAGGAGTGGTTCCATGTGGGTTGCTGCGAGAGGCGTCAGAGGGCGCGAGGGCGCGATTGGGGGCGCGTGCTCACTTACTCGTCGAGATTGCGGGGCACAAAGAGCTCTTGGTCGCTCACGGGCGGCGCGAGTACGGTCTCGAGGGACAATGGGCCTGGGACGGGGCGCGACGTCTCTTTGAGCGAAGCGGTGGCCGTGGTAATTAGGCTGGTGAATTGATCGGCAGAAAAGCGGCCAACGATGGGCGAATCGGCGGGCAGGGGCTTTCTCCGGACTGGCGACTGGAGAGCGACAGGAGGCGGCGCGGGCGCGGGCGCAGGTTGGGGGGGCTGCGAGCGAAAGGCAGCAAAGGACGAGATGGCGATGGAGGCCAGGGACGAGCCCTTTTGGCGAGGCGGCGAGAGCGGCAGAGGGCGCGCGTCCTGGGGGGACGACGCTTGGACGGCTTGCATACTTTTGGTGCTATTCCCCCGCGATAAACATGGCGTGCACAAATGATGGGCGCAGATGGCAGGTCGAGGGTCGCCAAAGACGGTTGCTGGCAAAAGGAGAGCTCGCTAGCGACAAAGCAAATGGGGTGCAGGAGCGGCAGACGGGGGGGGGGAGGGGGGCGCTTGGGGGGCTCTGGGCAGATCGCCAGCCTCGAATTGGCTCCGAGTCGACGGACTCGGCGCGCTCAGCAGGCAGCGCGCGCTGTCATGGGCGGTTCGCGCTGAGCGAGTGGAGCACGCCGCGCCAGGGGCAGCGCTCGGGGCTGCAGGTACTGGCTGTGGTTTTTTTATTATCCGGCCAATGGGGCGGCGGGGCGGGCGGCTGACAGTGTGGCCGTGGGGGGAGGGGGCGTGGCGAGAGTCGTGGTGGAGGCCGCGGGTGAGTGGGTGAGTATGCAGTCGTGTGTATAGTAGGTGGTAGCAGGTGGCAGTAGTCGTCGGGGCAGTGTAGGAGGTGGCAGTGTAAGAGGTGGTGGTGGTGGCCGCCGACTAGAGTGGCAGGTATTCGTGACGCGCTGCCGGACGCATAGCTGCCGACGTCGGTGAAACACTGGCACACTCCCCCATCCATGGGCATAACCACAGAGGCGCTTTTGCGTAGCACCATAGCGCCCTTGTAGGCGACACCGCCCGCAACGGGTGGCTTGCATATTACACTCTCGCTCTCTCTGCCACTGCTCTCCTCCTGAGCCCGTCGGTGCGCACGACTAGACTAGGCTCGCGCGCGTAATTTCGTGCAGCGAGTGAATTGGGCCATTCGGCACAGGGGCGCGCCTCCGTATCGGGGCGCGCCTAGACGCCCTCCCCCACCGGCGAACGGCGGGCAGTGCGCACGGCGAGTCGTCGACGCGAGTCCAGCCCTTTTTCCCATGCACATGGGCCATCGCGCGCGATAGCAAATTGGAGCCAGTGCTGGTACATGTACAGCAATGTACGTACTTGGACGTGAGCAGCGCCCCTGCATCGCAATCTTACTAGCCCGCCCGCCCGGCGCCCATGGCTGGCTTCCATCTACTAATAGCACATACACGGTATTGACATTGCGACACTGACACTGACGTTGGCGCCCACCTCTGCATAATTGTCATGCCCGCCCAATGCCATGAGGCGAGGCCGCCGCCGCCAATGGCATTCGCTGCTGCTGCTGCTGCTACAAGAACCTGTGCACAATACTGCCCCTCGCCATCGTGCTGCTGATGCTTCGGTCCCTTTGCCCGCCAGTATTACTACACACTACAACATGTCTGTCGAGAAGCACGCCATGTCTCACCTCCAACCCCCAACTCTTCCCTCGTCCCAGCGCTCCTTGCGCTCGGCCCGAAGATAGGCAATCTTACGCCCTTCTTTCAATCGCCTCACAAAGTCTGTAACTTCCCGGTCGCTGGCAACCGCCTCTCCACCCCCGAATCCTTCGCCCTCGAGAAAGCTCTCTTCGAGCCCGCGGCACAGCGCCTCTTGCTCACCTACAGCCGCACTGAGGCGCTGGTACAGCGCCGGTGGGCTGAATTCGCCGAGTGCTTCGTCTTGTTCGCTCTGCTTTGCTCTCCACTGACGCTCCAGTGCCCGCAACCCAAGCAGGCGTGACTGCACGTCATCGCGCTGATGGCGCACATGGGCTTCGAGTTGCTTGAGTGACTCAGCCAAGCCTACATTCTGTGCCAGCAGAGCCTGCAGAGGCGCAGTAGACGCGGGAACTGAGGCATGTCTTGTTTCGGCATCATGGATTATAGCATGCTGCAGTTCGGGCGTTTGAAGCACATGATGCAAATCCTTGCTTCTGCTTCGGCCTTAGCAGTGTGCTCGTCAACCTGCAAGAACTGACATACGACTTGTCCTTGAGCACCTCGGGCAGCCAGCCCTCTTCCGGCGGTGCAACGGCTGCCTGCTCGCCGCTCTCCTGGGCATGCTGCTGGTGCTGCGCCTGCGCGTGCTGTGGCAGATGCCCCGATGACGATGCCTGGCCTGGTGGAGGCCGAGGCCGAGGAGGGCCCTGAGACGGGGTTGCGGTTCCACTGGCCTGGCCTGGCTTGGGCGGTGGCGGCGGCGGGGTTGATGCGTCGTAGTTGTAGAATTGCTGTGAGTGGCGTGGAGAGTATGCCATGATTTGAATGGGACGGCTGCGTCTTGAATGCGCGTAGGCAGTGGTTGCATGTGATGCGGCCGGGCCATGGCGCTAGCGCGTCGGTGCTCCATCTAATCTAATCTCATCGCCGCACCCCTGCATTGAGGCCACAGCAGCGTCTACCGTTACACTTTCAGGCTGTGGACACGTCTGGACGCGCCATTCTACGCTTCTGCCTACCCACTCGCTCTCGGCCACTCCAATCTCCTCGCCCAATCCAACATACACCGAGCTGCACTCTCTCCAGCTGGCCTGCAATCAAAATGGCAAGCAACGCCCCCTCTGCACATGCAAACGCATTCAATGGAGCCCATTCCGCTAACCTGCCATATCCGCACTGCAGGCCAACGTCATAGCGAATTCTGGCCACGATGATATGATAGTATGTTTGCCTAGGCACTCGCCTTTCTCCTGTGTTTCTCGTCACACCGTGCTGGCTGGCGCAATGCGAGAAACAGGACAAGGCCAGTCTACTTTGGATTAGAGCTAACAAAGCACAGCATGATGCGGTCCTCGACTACTACGGCAGGCGGTTAGCGACCTGCTCTTCGGACAAGACGATCAAGATCTTCGAGGTAGAAGGCGAGAAACATACACTGGTAGAGACACTCAGAGGGTACGTCATAGCCGGCAGAGCTGCCCAACAAAAACGGCGGTCCACCTACGCAGCTCGAATTGCCCACTGACATCCCAACAGACACGAGGGCGCTGTCTGGAGCGTCGCATGGGCACACCCAAAGTACGGCAACATCCTCGCGTCTTCTTCGTACGACGGCAAGGTCCTCATCTGGCGCGAGCAGTCCAACAGCTGGCAAAAGATCTACGAGGTCGCCCTCCACACTGCCTCGGTCAACCTTGTCGCCTGGGCACCCCACGAGGCAGGCTGCTTGCTCGCTTGCGCATCCACTGACGGCAATGTCTCGGTACTGGAATTCAAGGACAACAACTGGACACATCAACTCTTCCAGGCTCATGGCAGTGGCGTGAACAGCGTATCCTGGGCCCCCGCTGTTGCACCTGGGCAGGTTGTTAGTGCGAGCGCCAACCAGACTGCTGCGGCAAGGCGACTGGTGACTGGTGGAAGCGACTGCCAGGTCAAGATCTGGGAGTTCAGCCCAGAGAGTGGCAGCTGGCAAAACGTGCACATACTCCCGGGTGGTCACTTGGATTGGGTACGCGATGTTGCATGGTCGCCCACTGTCCTCTCCAAGTCGTACATTGCCTCTGCCTCTCAGGACAAGACCGTCATCATCTGGACGTCGTCGGATTTGCGCGGCGAGTGGAAGCGTACCAAGCTGGATGTCGATGCCGCCGCATGGCGCGTAAGCTGGAGCTTGAGCGGCAACGCCTTGGCCGTCAGCACTGGCGACAACAGGGTCAGTCTGTGGAAGGAAAGGCTTAGTGGTGGATGGGAGTGTGTCAAGACCATTGAGGAGTAGACTCGGCGCTGGGAAAGTTGCATGGCAGTCATGAGACATACAAACTCGGCTTAGTATAATCATATGTGGGCGTTGTACTTCTGCCGTTGTGACGAGGTGTTTATACCCAGACACAGTATCAGGCAAGACAAAATTCCCCTGCACCGCCTACTGTGCGCTGAAAACTTCAATGCATGAACGAATCCAGTATCAAACGAGTCATATGCATGCTCGACATTACTCAACAAAACCAAACATGTAGCATGGGTGCCACGTTCTGCTAGCATTCCCGTGTAATACTACTAAGCATGCGCCAAGTCGCGTGCCTTAACGCCCAGGTCAGGATCGCTGCAATCGACGCATCTCTCGTACTTGCCCAATGCGGCCTACCAACTAGGCGCCAACAGCTTCAGCCTTGAAGTAAAGGCCTGTCTGAGGATTCTTCGTGACAACTCCCGAGACCAGATATATGGCCATGCGACATCAACAGTGCACAACGCATATTTTCTGTCGCCTCCAACCGTCTTGGCGCTAGTTGCCTCCAAACTCGCCACCTAACAAGCCTTCCATTTCTCAGTCGCAGAAAGCCTCGAATGCGAAAGAGTTTGGAAAATGGCTACCATTCAGAGTCAAGCACCCCAGTCTGTTGTGCCAGCATCGCGGACTCCCACGTCAGACCCTTCCAACAAGCTCACCCCAGCCCAAGCCGAAGCTAGAAGCATCCTCGACCATCTCCTCATCCAACTGCAATCCCCAGATCCTTCCAACACCACCACCACAACCACAACCTACCACACAACCTATGGCCCCTGGATCCAGCGCCACGGCCAATCCCAACTGGCCTTCTTCTGCCACAGCCTCGTGCGCCCGCAAACCTGGCACTTTCTCGCGCACCGCTGGTCGCTCGATGCGCTCAAGCCGCTCTCAGGCGATCTCCGCTACGAAGGCCGCGCCATCTACCTCAATGGCATCCTGGGCCTCGACAAGCGTCTGCGGCTGTATGTGGGGCAGAGCACCAATTTACGCCAGAGAGTGGGCCAGCACCTGAACTTCAGGTACCGCAGGGATCATCCGTCGTTGCATTACTTCGCGCTGCACGAGAGCGTGTACAATGTCTTTGCCACGCTGGTCATCTTGCCCCACAGTAGTGCTGCCGAAGGGCGTCCGGGCATGGACGACGTGCCACTCCTGCTCAACGTGCTGGAAATGTGGATGTGTCTTGTTTTCCGTGCGTTGCCTGATCAGACACTGCAGCACTGGTTGCCTGGCGATGGGTCTGTCGACCAGAAACGCAAAGTGGGAAAGGAAGGGCTGGTTGGCGGCCTCAATGTTGCGTGTCCTCTTGATCAGGGAACGAGCTTGGCCGAAAGAGTGTTTGTCGATTTGGAGGCTGAGTCTGATCCGCTCGTCAGGGCATACTTGCGGGACGTGGAGAGGAAGAAGAGGGAGAGCGAGGACAAGGATGAGGAAAGCGAGATGCTGCAGAGGCGAAAACTCTATGCAGAGAAGGCGAGGGCGTATAGAGGGGGAGAGACGGATGTGCGTGTTCCGCAGTGGGTTGTGTATGGTACGTTGGCGGGAGTACTGGGGTATATCCTGCTGAATAGTAGGGGCGGACAGAGGCTTAGAGCTTGGTGGAGGTAGCAGACATGTCTGTAACACTCTCGGTGCTGAAAACCAGGTAACCTCTAAAAGATTAGCCAGTCATGCTCACATGATGGGTTTTCAGACTCCCTTCAAGGTTAACAGACGTCTCATGAGAGATATAGTCTGTCAAGTACCCCCTATGTATATTCACAACAAACAAAGCAAATCCACACATGGTACACCAAAGACTTTTCCAAACACATGACCACGGACCACGCACAAGATATGAAAGACTCAAAGTAATTGTTCATACATTGTTATACACTCTTGAAATCGTAGTACTACTCACAGAGCCAGCTATGGATGGGGCAAAAAAAAATAAAAGAGAGAGAGAGAGAAAAAGGAAAAAGACAGACAGCCCAGAATTACCGTGCTCGAAAAGGGAAAGAGAGAGAGAGAGAGAGAGAGAGAAAAATACATAATCATGAGTACACCACCCCTTTCCCTTTCATGCTTTTTTTTTCAAAAAAAGAAAAAAAAAGAAAAAAAAAGGGGAGTCTCCTTGCTCTCCTTGAACCTACAACCCCCTAACGGCCCAAAAAAAAGATAGGAGAGACAAGAAGACTCCCAACCCAGCCCAACACGCAAAAAAGAAAGAAAAAAAGCACCCCTTTCTAGAATCACGTTTGTCGTGGTTGTGAAAATCTAGATGGCAGTGCGCTGGTTCCGATGCGAATACAGGTCGCGCTTTGCAATGCGTCCGTTGACACACTTTGTGCCTTGTGCAACAGGCATCATCATGGCCTTGCCAAAGTTGCAGAGACCGAATTTTAGGCCGTCTTTGGAGCATACTACTTCGCCGTCTTTGGGGCAAGAGGTACCAGCGGCGTCGGAGACGGGTGCTGGAGCGGGAGCGGGTGCGGGTGCGGGTGCTGGAGCTGGGGTTGGGGCAGTTGATGGTGGATTCTGGATGGCTGGTGCTGGGGCAGCAGAAGACGAAGAAGACAGCTGAGCAGTAGGCGTGGGGGCTGCTGGTGGTGGTGCGCCAGATGCGGCCGAGGGGGCAAAGATGCCGCCTGTGTTTGCTGGTAGCGGTGGCATGGATGCGGTAACGGTTTTGATGGTGCGGAAGCCGGATTGAGCGGCCGGTGGCGCTGCGGGAGCCTGTGGAGGAGCACCTGTGTCGATGCTAGAGCCTGTACCCGCGCCACCACCGCCACCAACACTACCGCCACCAGCACCACCACCACCTGACTGAGAAGTTTTTCCAGAACAGAGCTCCACAAATGGCCCCTTGCCAACCATCGTCTTCATAGCACCTGGATTCTCAAACGTATAGTCCGAACCCTCCTTTGTCGTACCACATGAACCCGGGACATTGATGTTGGCAATAGCCATGTCGGGAAGCGTGTTCATGGCAGCATCACTCTTTGCGCCGCCAGACACCGAGACAGACGCACAGTTCATGTAGAACTCTCTGTTGCCAACCTTGTTGAACCACGTCCACGCAACCGTCATGTCGCCGTTGGGCAGATCCTTGGGAACGGTAAACGGAAAGGCCCCGTCGTAGCTGGGGCCGCTTTGATCCAGATTTCCCTGGACGTTGGCCGGACACCCGCCTTCGATCGAGTAGATGACTTTCCACTTGGAGTCCTTGGTCAGCATCTTGTCGGTTGTGACGCTGATCTGGCAACTGCCGCCGCCGTGGACGGCGGTGCCACTGAAAGAGAGCGACTGTTGTGAGCCTGCTTGCCACTGGTTGACTTTGGCGAGGCCGCTCGGCGGGCCCTTGCAGGGGAAGTCGGAGCCGTCTGGTGCGAGAGGCGAGTTGTTTGGGGCGTTGAAGGGTACGGGGTTCGCCATGATCATGTGTGCGTTTGCGGATAGAGGCCCCATGGCTACCATAGCCGCTGCGGCAACGAGAGCCGTCTTCATGGTCGACATGTCGGTTCCTAGGCCTGCTGGGAAAGCGAATCGGGTTGTGTTGAAATGGAGTTTGGGTTGATGCACCGTAGAAAGAGAGTTTGGCGTGTTTGATATACTTGGTAAGGGGAGGGGGGAAATTATCCACGGTTCTTTTGTAAGGGGTTGCGCTGCAGGTTGAAGAGAAGGGCTATGGAGACATGGTACAATAGGCGTGGGGACTGTGTGATTGCACAATAGCTTCACAATGAGACAGATGAATGGGAATGGCCGACGTTAACTGTGAAGGTGAGGGTGAATGCGGATATTACGCCTGCGTTGAACATGACCAGCGAGTCGTTTCGAAACATCTGGGAAGCTGGTGAAAACAGTAGATGTCATGATAGCCATGTAGGAGCTACAGAGATTATTTAAACTCTTGATGCGTCGTTTTTTGAAACCCTACATGGTGCGGATCGCTGCAAAAGTAACGGAGGATTTGGTGACGTCTTGGCGCCATACGCGAATGTGGAGAACAACAAGTGAGACAGCATTTCTGAAACCGGTATCGGGCGAGATACTCGAAGATCATTTGACCGCGCGCCTCTTGAGATTAGCATATGGGCAGTGAAACAGCACGATGAAAGCATCTAGGTAGCCTGCGGGTCCTTAGTGTTTTTTTCCATGTGATGATGCGCGCAGAAAGGGGGCGGTATTGGGTGAGGAGCTTGCGGGAGCTTGCCGGGGCCTGTTTGCTATAGCCGCGCGCAAATGTGACCTTGTTACTTTTGTGACTGGGCATGGAAGGTCGAAGGAGAGCACACGGCGCAGCAGGCGAGGTGAAGGGGAGCGCGAACTAGAGCCGATAGAGCCTAGGGCGTCTTGGCAGAGCCAGCTGGAGCGCAATCGCGAAAGCACCCATCGCTGGCCAGGAACGCGCAAGAGGATTCACAAGTCGAACCGGTTTGCACAATCTGGCATAGCGACGGAGGGTCGTGCTGCAGAATCATACCGACATACTCGGCGTCGCCTCGTCTGCCGATCTTGCCCCCGAACAGTTGCGACGCGTCTGGTGTTCGCGAGCTCTACTGAGCTTCCTCAGATTCCCTACACGACCCATCGCGCGTATCAAGGACGGCCATGTTTACGAGCACGGGGAAGACGGCGCCGCCCCAGGCCTTCATGTCCAGCTATGCGCCACGCCTGCGCAGCCATGGAAATTCGCTCATATCGCCCATTGTCCCGCCGTCGAATACGCTGCCTGCGCCGCGCGTGACGAAACGTGGAACTGCCGTCCTCAGTTACGCGGAAGATGCCTACGACGACGACGATTTCGAGGACAGCGACCGCCCGCGACGAGCCACTGGCCTCCGCAGCGTCCAAAAGGCCGACCCGTCGAGTGCCGACCACTCGGCGCAAATCGCCGCTTTGGGCGAGGAGCTCACAGCACCAATCGACCTGCAGGGAATATGGCGGGACTGGATGGGCAGGCCGAAGCGCACATTGTAAGTGCCACAGTCGCAGGGACGCTGAGCGTACTGGAAGGCTGACATGCTGCAGAACGGAGAAGCAAGTACAGACGCAGTCTGCCTTGCCAGTGACACTGATCCCCATCCGAATAGACATGGACATCCAGGCTTTCCGCCCAGAGGCGCCACTGCCCACGCCCTCCAACGCTCGCGAGTTTGGCATCAACGAGAACCTGCCCGCATACAAGCAGCCCGACGTCACTCCTGCGTACAGACTCAAAGACTCGTTTCTGTGGAACCTGCACGAAGCACTTACGACGCCCGACCAATTCGCAAAGCAATTTGTCGACGAGCTGGATCTCCCAAACGAGCGGAAACCCTTCATAATAAGCCAGATTGCGAGCCAGATCCGACAGCAACTCGAGGAATATGCTGGTGTTGCGCTTCATCCGCTTTTCCACTCGACCAATTCGCCCACTGTACAAGGCACGAGCGCCAAACCCGTAGTAGCTGCCTTCTCCCGCGATGGCACCTCCACTCCCGTAGTCGCAGCCACGAATGGCGCATCGACTCCCATGACCAACGGCGCATCTCACGCAGATGGTGCGCCGACAGCAGTAGGCATACCAAATGGCATCAGCGCAAAAGCCACGGCCCTACCCTCCGAGGAACTTCACAATCCGGACGACACGTACCGGTGTATTGTCACACTGAACATCAATCTCATGAACCGGCTGTACACGGACAAGTTTGAATGGTCATTGCTCCATCCGCCGGGTTTTGCAGAAATGTTTGCAAAGACAACTTGCGCAGATCTTGGACTTTCGGGAGAGTGGGTGAATGCCATGACGCACAGCATCTACGAGGCCGTCTTGCGGCTGAAGAAAGAGGCTTGCGAGAATGGCGGGCTAGTGGGTGACGGAGAGATTGACAACGACGCGGTGGAGCCCAGCATTGGCGCAGGATGGCGATATGATCAAGAGCATCTCTGCGACGAGTGGGAGCCAAAGGTTGAGATTCTATCACCCGAGGAGATTGAGAAGCGTGAGGGCGACCGTGAGAGGCAGATTCGCCGATTACGGCGAGAAACGGCGCGCTTCTCGTCGACAGCAAACATGACGGGCACTCCTGCCAATGAGTTTTTCAACAACATTGAAGGGCAAGAAAACATGGGTCGTGGCGAGCGCAGCAAGAAGAAGAGAAGGTTTAGGAGTCTTAGCCCTGTCGGACGCGGCACGCCTGGTGCTGGGGGAGGATCTGGCTACGGCGGGCAAGACGGCGGGCTGCAAGAGGGGTACGTATTCTGGTTGTTGTCATGTCTCGGGGCCGATGTGCTGACGCGTACACTACAGGGAGAGACAGACATGGCGATGCTCACATTGCTGGGTCTGGGGGACTGCCGTTTGGGCTGTCCGCGACGGACCCAAAGGACCGCGTACCCTGTGCAACAACTGCGGGTACCTTTACGAACGTGACAAGAAGTTGCCACCTTGGTCTGAAAACCTCTTTTATCATGAAAGGCCGCTGCACGAAGTCCCACAATATCGGCCGCAAAGATGATGGGTCTTGTGCTACATTACCCAAACTTTCCTTCAGGACAGCAGCGAGGTGACGGGGCTGCCCTTGCACACTGAGCCTCAAGGGTTGAATTAATTGCATTATTTTCTGCAGCATGGCGTCTTGGGTGAGTGGCTGTCATGACGGTACACTTGTATAACATCATATAACATTACCATTGCCAACATAGAAGACGTTTGCAGAGTGTCTGAGCCAGCCTTGAACCGGGTGGGCCGGATCAATCATCTGCAGAAGCACTTGCGTTTCTATTGTTGTACTTTTCTTTATAGTATCGGGTTGAGTCATCTTCTAAGAATACACCCTCAACGTATCCGAGGGAAAAGTCGGGTTTACGATAGGCTACGGGACTTGGGAGAAAAGAAGGGTGTAGTAGTAGTAGTAGTGGCGTCGGGGGCGTCTGCAGAGGCTTAGTATGACCCCATGGGCTTCCTGTAGCGATGAAGTACAATGGTTGGTAGTGCTGTCCGATGTTTGTAATTAAGGCACATGGGCCACTTTTCCCGGTGTTGAGCTATGCCAAATGCGGACATGTTGGACGCTGGTGATGCTTTGAGCAGCTTACAGTCGTATTGTTCATAGCTGGGCTTGCTATTGTAAGTATCCCAATACCACTCACACTATTGCATCACACCCCTTGGTTACACGGCGCACAACACCTCGTCATCGAGTTTGATCGACTGTTGAAGCACGAGATTTGTCTAGCACGACTTTACCAAGTACCGAAAATGTCACTTTGACCCACCGGCTGGCGGCTGGGTGTCGGCAAACCAAGAGACAGGCTCCGTGCGGTCCGTCCCTTGGTATTGTTCTATTGACACACACACACACACGTACAACGGCACACAGGCGCAAGGCCACGGGACTTGCACCACAGAGGCATGAGTCAAATCAGAAACCGCTGCTGGCGTCGTATCACAGCATACGCAGGAGACCATCCCCACTGCTATTGTCACGGGTGTGCAATGTCGGCGCCTAAAGATGAGCACGCCACGGCCACGGGTTTTCCACTTGCAGGCGCCTAACTGGCCACGGAGCAATATACGACGGATTCCTCCCAGCGACTACCTCCAACAATGGTCAGATGTTGGGGCGCAAGTGCTCAAAGATGCCTAGTGCGTCTCTATTCAGTGACGAGGGTCACAATAGGAACATGGACGCATTTTGACCGTCATCGGGCAGTGCCGCAGCACCATGGGGTATTATGCATGCCGATGTGGCGCGACAGATGTGTTGAGTTTGCCTGGCCTTGCTATTGTGTTTGTTGTTTCAGACGATGCTCAATAGCCGTTGGCCGGCAGTGGTGCATCGAGGTTTGCTGAAGGAAGGGTATTTAAAAGCGGTCGCCATGCCAGAAAAGTCTAGTGTGCAGACATACTGGCGCTTGAACAGTGGAAGGCTCCTTTTGCGATACGTATAGGTAAGTTGGATAAGTATTCCGTTTGGAGCATGTCGTTTTACTGACTTGCTGTACTTAGACGTCGGCCAAAGCAGCAAGAATACCCGCCACGGCCAGCTCCGCTTGCCGTCTGCTTGGCACCGGTCACGATCATAGTATATCGGGGTAGATTTCCCGCATGCATTTGGTGATCGCGCTACATTTGCCGGCAAAGCCTTTAACCACTGCGTACTGGTAGTCATCTCGCATGATGCGCGGATAATCCATCACACCAACATCACGCCACGACCCGACGATCACGATACTCCACAGAAACCTTGGCGACAACGCGGAAGACGGTTAGCGATAGCATTACATATAGGCTATGGAACCCTCTCGCCCCGATGCCTTGCAAGGCGCGAAGGAATCAACACTGCAACAAACTTTATCATCTGAAATCAACTCCCGTCCCGCATCAAGATTGGCTTTGGACGATCTATCAGCACCACCAGCCTATCACATGGTTGTAGACTCTGAAATGTCAACATCTACCGCAACCAGTCCGTATATGCATGACGAAGAGGAATATGACCGGGAACACGACGGTGACCACACGCCTGAGATTGTGATTAACGCTGCGACACAAATCAGAGGACATGGCAACATCATCTCGATAGCGCAGATGGACAGCGTGCGAATCGCAAACCTCATCACCAGCGTGCTCAACTGCGACGAACTAGACGAGGCCACACGACCGCTGACGCCTCCAAGTCCTCCATCGCTAGCAACAGCACCGCCAGAGCGGACGTCCAAGACGCAGGTTCGAGGGATAAAGCGGTATCCTAACATCAACATTACCGTCAATTGCGGCGCAACCGTCATCGGAGACCGAAACATTGTCGGACCAGGCCTAGGCGACATTGCGCGGCAGATGCAAATGGCACAGCGGAACCAGGCAGCGCTACTTGCCCAGCAACAACAACGACAACAAGCTGCGGCTGCGGCTGCAGCAATGGGCACTCCGGGACAAAGCAAAATGGCGTCGCCGCCGCTACAGCAGCGAAGTAGTAATTCGTTTTTCCCGTCTCAACCGCCTTTCTCAAGTGCACATTACGCTACTGCTGTGCACAACCCGCCCGGGTCGCATGGAGTTGCGACGCCGCCGATGAGCCGGAGCTCGAGTCTGCATAGCGATAGGGAGGCGCGGAAAAGGAAGGCTGCAGATATGGGCGAATCGGTGGCTGGAATTGCCATCAAGAAACAGCGTGATTGATTTTTTTTCTCTTTCTTTCTTTCTGTCTTGAATGATGGGTTGATTAGAAGGGGGAGCGATAAGGCGCATTGGGTATGTGGGCAGGCTATTTGTTTTGCTTGACTACTTCGTTTCTTGGTGGACTTTTTTTTCTATGCTGTAATATATCTTGACGACTAAGGGGGATTATGTCTGGCATGGTATGTTTCTGGGTGGTGTTGGGGCGAAGTAGGCAAAAGTGTGTTGTATGCTATCTTATCAGCAAGGCGGTGGATTGGCCATGTGTGTATGGACATGTCATATGTTAGTAGAGAGATGGGACGCCGGCGCAGCAGTCTCGGCATCCTACATACACACACATACAGTAGTACGCATACAACGGATGCTGTGCATGTGCTTGGCGTGTCACGTGCGCGTCGGGGGCCGCCTCGGAGGCTCGGAGTTTGGCTCGGAGGCGCGGCATGGCGCTTCGTGTCCTTTTCGAGAGGCTGTCGCAACCACACGGCAGCGCCACAGGCAACAGACAGCCGACGGTTTCATGAACAAGCCAGGGGCGGGTGCCATGCCGACGAGCAGCGAGAAACATTGCCGTGCCCGAGGCTCTGCACATGTCAGGCCATGCCATGCTCGCGGCCTCGTGTTGCCGGCCGTGTTATTATGATCATTGCTACTACTGTACCACGTACGTACTTCCGCGATGTATGCCCTGCCCTCGGCGGCGGCAACTCTGGACAGACCCTTGCCTAGCGGCGTCCCCATGGAGGAAGCACTCGCACTCGCACTCGCAAGCTCCCACGGCCACATGAAGCACCTCTGCTCTGCACCCTCGCCCTCGCCCGAGTCCTTGCCTCTCCTCACACATTCTTAGCCTGGACGCTGTGTCGGCGCCCTTCTGCTGCCTTTGGGCCGTTTCACGCGCAGACAATCGCCCCCCCAGAGGCGTCAAGTGCGCAATTGGCTGGCTGGCGCCGCTCCCGCTGCCCTCCAACACATTTACCTGGCCTCTTCCCACTGCCTCCACCATCCCGCCCGTCGAGCGACGCTCCTTGTGCACCGCCTCACACACCAAAGGCACCACGCCTAGCCTAGCCAAACAAAGCCATTGGTGAGCCCCTTTTGCCTTCCCCTTCCTGCTACACGTCCGGCTCCATGTAACGCCTGGCCTGACCCTCGCCGGGCGAGCGCTGCCATCCCACCACCTTCTGCATTCTGCCGCCTCTCCTATCCATTGCCCCCCCCGCCCTGGCATATATCAGCCCATGCCCACTGTCTGCTCGCATTGTCCGTATCCTTCTAACAGACGTTAATCCTCTCATCAGGCGCCCGATCCTCGCACCAAGCGGCCACGTATTCGCTACCGACGACATAGTTTGAAAGCATTGCACTCGGCACTTGATACATCATGGAGACGTGGATGAGCTGGGCCATGTTCCTGGCCATTGGCGCCGCAGCCTACTGGTACTATGTGCACCAAAACAACGATGCCGTTGCACGGGGACGATCGACAGCGGGCAAGTCGACCACCAGCTCGTTAAAGGAGGCGGTCAACTGGGACGCTGAAAGCAAGCCCAAGCAAAAGGCCCAAAAGGCCAAGGCTCCTCGCAAGTCGGCGAAGGCTCCCGCTCAGGACGACAAAGCCAAGGCTCCCGCCCCCAAGGCCGCCCCTGCACCCGTAGAGGACGTCTCGCCACCTGCCGCCGCCGCCATCAGCAAGGCTCCCAGCGGCAAGGACGTCTCCGACATGCTGGGCGAACGCGCCGCCTCTCCCTCGGTCATGACCATCAAGCCGTCTGAAAAGCCCGCCAAGTCGGCCAAGGGCCAGACTTCAAAGGCCGAGGCTGCGCAGGAGACCAAGAAGCAGCGCCAGAACAGGAAGAAGGCCGAAGAGGCCAAGGCTGCGCGCGAGGAGGAGGAGAAGCAGCGCAAGGCTCTCGAGGAGAAGCAGCGACGCACAGCCCGTGAGGCCCGTGGCGAGCCGGCCAAGAACGGTCTGCAGCAGAGCAGGCCTCCTGCGGAGAACCCTTGGACTGAGGTCCCCTCTCGCGGTGCAGTGCAGCCTCCCAAGTCGGCTCCTACCGGTCAGCTTCTCGACACTTTCGAGGCTCCTGCTCCTGCTCCTGCTCCTGCTTCTGCCCCTGCTTCTGCCCCTGCCCCCAAGGCTGCTACCAACGGCAAGAGCACGACTTCTGCCTCTTACAACAACCTGCCCTCTGAGGAGGAGCAGCTCAGGCTGGCCATGGAGGACTCGGCTTGGACCACTGTTCCCAAGGGAGGCAAGGCCAAGCGCAAGACGGTCAACGAGGAGGTTGCCGAGGAGCGTGACGACGTTAGCACTACCAAGGCGGCTCAGCCCGTGAAGGCCGTCCGACCGACGGAAACTCTCCGGGAGAAGAACCCCAGCTCTCGCTACCAGATTCTCGCCGAGGAGTTCAACCCCAAGACTGGCGACGAGATTGACGACTGGGCCGTCATGTGAAGGCGCTGACGCCTGGTTAGGCCAGCCACGGGTCATAAGACCCCTGGCCCACGCACGCAGTCATGTAACACCCACGTCTATGATCCTTTTCAAACTTTTGTCGTGGCAACAGTCACTGGTACACGGGGTCTCGGAGGCGTTGGGACGGCACCTTTTCAGCGTTCATTAGTATGGCAGAGCACGTGGCAAAGGGAGAGCGGGGCAAAAGTCGGCGTGTTATGAGGGAATACCTGGACGGCGAATATGGCGGAAAACGTATTTCCCGTGCTTGCTTTTTTGCAGCGCATTGGAAAAAAAGCATTGGCGTAAAGGGGTTGCATGTGGACTTTTTTGCGAAAGCCGCCCCTTGTATTCTCTTGCTGTAGCCAATTATTACATGCGAGCACCAAGGAGCGCGACGGCCAATGCCTGGCGCAACGCTGCCTTGAGGCTCGCCCTATAGAAAAAGAGACGATGTTCCTCGCCTGCCGTGCACCCAACGTGAAGCGTGTCACTAGCATCATGTGCTGGACCAGTATTGAGCTGGACGTCGGACGTCCGACAGAGGGCGCGAGCGCCGCGCAGGGCGAGTGCAGTAAGCGGGCGAGCACGGGTCCATAGTCTATGTGTGTCAAGCGCACTCGGTGACCCTTTTCGAGTCAGGGCTGACTCCGCTAGTGGGAGTGCCCGGCAAGAGTAAGGACCGGCTCGTACTCTGACGCCATACAGGCCAGAGTGCAGCTTGAGCAAGGTGGCCTCAACATGGCGCAGCGGCAGGTTGGGCGAGCCGAGGATGCTGTGGCGCCCGCGCTGGAATAGATATAAGGAAGCGCAGGGCAATATCGGGCATGTGGCCGGGCCATCAGGTGGAACAACAAGAAAAAGCCGTCTAACCCTGCAATCTATTAGCTTGCAGCAGAAATATAAAGTGAGACTCGAGGGCCGCGCGCAATCGGTTAGGTCGCTGACATAATCTGACGTTTCCGAGATCAATCGCGTGAAGGACACCTGTTCGCAGGAGCAACCCTATCACCTCACTACTCCTCCGCCTCGCACATTCTTTTCCCTCCTCTACTACACTCCCAGCCATGGCACAGATACGCGGCACAGCTGGCTACCATTTGGGCAACCAGAGCCCCTTTGGCAACTCCGGGCGCAACGACGACATGAGCAACGATCCCAGTCCCCTCGACCAACTGAGGGCCCAGACGAGCAAGCTCGAGGACATGCTGGACACTGTCGCGAACCCCACCAAGCCGTAAGTGCGGACGCCAATCACGCGGCGGCACACGGCCGTGTGACTGGCTTGTGGTGGTGCTACACGCACGCCTCAACAGGACAAGAAGGCTGATTCGGACTTTCGCAACAGTTATCTCCCAGCAATTGGCCGCTTCCTGATTGTCGTGACCTTTCTCGAAGACGCGCTGCGCATCGTGACTCAATGGACCGACCAGCTCACATATCTCCACGACTACCGACACAGTATGCCCCCCCTGCCACCCCCTCCCCCCTTGCCACGCATGGCCCGTCACTAATACGCGTGCATTCAGTTCCCAACGGCCTCACCCAGATGTTCCTCATCTTCAACGTCATCGCCATGACCGTCTGCTCTGTAGGCGTTATTGCCCGAAAATGGTCCGAATACAGTGTGGGCGGGCTCATGAGTGTGATCGTGTTGCAGGGTCTCGGATACGGTCTGGTCTTTGACCTCAACTTCTTCCTCCGCAATCTGTCGGTTGTTGGTGGTCTGCTCATGGTGCTCTCCGACTCGTGGGTTCGCAAGAAGTTTGCCCCGGCCGGTCTTCCTCAGCTCGACGAGAAGGACAAGAAGATGTACTTCCAGCTTGCTGGACGCGTTCTGCTCATTTTCCTCTTTATCGGCTTCGTTTTCCGTGGCGACTGGACCCTCTGGAGGATTATTGCCAGTCTTTTGGGATTGGTTGCTTGCGTCATGGTGGTGGTTGGCTTCAAGGCCAAGTTCTCGGCCATTATGCTGGTGCTGATTCTCAGCGTCTTCAACCTCTACGTCAACAACTGGTGGACTCTGCACCCGCACCACCCTCACAAGGACTTTGCCAAGTACGACTTCTTCCAAATCCTCTCGATTGTGTAAGTACCCCAACGACTGGTTTTCAGGCGCGATATTAACTAGTACCAGCGGCGGTCTCCTCTTGCTGGTCAACATGGGCCCCGGACAGTTCTCCGTCGACGAGAAGAAGAAGGTGTACTAGGCCGCTTAAGACACGCATCATGCATCACGACATGTTCCGATTCGACGCTGGACAGTAAACCCCAATTACATCCGATGGCAAATGTTGTATCGACTGGGTACAAGGAGCATCAAAACTGCCAAGACAAAAACACTGGGGACAGGGAGGGAGGTTCTCAAAAGTGCCAGTGCCATTTTCGAGCCCAGCAAAACATTTGCAGATACGGAAAATTTATAGACTATGAATAGCATTTGGCGTTTTGACTCGCGATTAGGTTGGTTGCACCTATCGCGAGACCCTTTTCTTTAAATACATGTAGGCAAATTCATTTAAGTTTGAAATGGTTCGGCAGTTTATTTCTACGTGAAGGTTAAAGGTAAAGGCTATACCCTATTCTGGTATCCCTAAATGCGTGGGACCCACAGTGGAGTCATCCCCCCGTATCGGTGAACTCCGTCGTTTATTAATATGTGCCAGGCGTGATTCGGTGGGCAAAGACGGCACACTAGTTTATCTAATCGAGTCTACGCGTAGACCAAGCCGCCAGACCGACCATACACGACTATATTGACAATCGTCCTCGCTTCTCTCTTTGGACAGAATACTCCATACGTTTGTCGCAGAAGAACAAAGAAAGCAATGGCTCCCAATAAAATCATCATCGACACGGATCCGGTAAGTCAGTTTTCACTCAATCGCCAAACGCAATCTAAACGCCAATGCGGGGTAATACACATACACGCATGGGGAAATTTCTAACGAGCATACGTGGTACATGGTAGGGCGTCGACGATGTGCTCGCCATGCTGCTGGCCTTTTCGGCTAAAAAAGAGGAGCTCGACATTTTAATGTTGTCGTTGACGTTTGGAAATGTCGAGGTGAAGAAGTACGTATGTTGCTCTTGTGTCTGCTCATCTCTTTATTCGACATGGCCACTGCTCATTGTTTCTTTTCGGCGGGTTGATTACTCGCAAGAAAACGAACGGGATGTACTGATTGTATGGATCAAGTTGTCTACGGAACGTAGTCACGCTTTTCCATTACATTGGTAAAGAGCGTGCTTGGCGAAAGGCAAATGGACGACCACAAGGGTTTGAGACGTTGGATGCGAGGAAACCCATTGGTGAGCTGTTTTACCATTTGTGGCAGTGGCTATGAGCCAAAGGAAAATATTTTTGGCTAATGCGTTTGGGACAGTTGCTGTTGGGGCCGAGGAGCCGCTGGCCGAGCATATGATGGTTGCGGATTTCTTTCGTAAGCCAATTACACACCATGCTTGTGTCTTTTACGGAAACCTGACGAGATACAGATGGAATTGACGGACTTGGGGGCATTCATCTTAGTGTATGCTTTGTTGATTATCAGAGTCGATAGGATACTGACATTGTCTAGCACCCACATCTCTCGCCAGCAGAGACCTGGAAAACACTGTTCAAGCCTACGCCCGAGGATCTTTCACCCGAGGAAGCGGCAGAGCTGCAAAAAGTCAAGGATGAACATTGTCTTTTTACACCGTCGCTCAAACCAGCGCATGAAGTCATGCTTGACTTGCTGAGGGAAAATGAACCAGACACTATTACGATTGTGGCGGTTGGACCACTGACGAACCTTGCGATTGCTGCAGCGCAGGATCCAGAGACGTTTCTCAGGGTAAAGGAAGTCGTCGTCATGGGTGGTGCGGTTGACGCACCTGGAAATGTAAGATACCCCTTTTGTTCTTGTTGTGTCCATCTTCTGTCTTGCACACGCACGGCTCTGAAGCTCTGTAGCCACGACCACCGCCTCCCCTTGATCTCATCTACTCCCCTACCACGCTCAGCATTCCCATTCCCCCATTCAATCTCATCAAACAACCCAACACACCCCTACGCCTCTCACTAAACCTCCGAAACCAGATGACTCCTGGCGCCGAATTCAACACGTACGCCGACTCGGTGGCCAGCGCCCGTGTCTTTGCACTCACATCGCAGAACCCACATCTAACCATGCCACCCACACTCTCAAGCGCCCAGAAACAAGCACGCCTCGCGCCTTACCCCGCCAAACTAAGCAAACGACTAACCCTCAAGCTGTTCCCCCTGGACATTACCGAAAACCACGTCCTCCCCACGTCCATGTACGAAAGCTACACGGCACGCGCGGAGCTGAGCAGCAGCCCCCTGGCCGAATGGACGCATCTCTTCCTGTCGTCGACATTTGCCAAGAATGCTGCGCTCAACCCGCAAATCGTACCCGAGAAGCAGGGGCTCCAGCTGCATGATCCGCTGACAATCTGGTACGCGCTTTGTGCAGACCACCCGGCGTGGGTGTTCAAAACAGAGGATGTACGCGTGGAAACGAGTGGCCAGTGGACGCGCGGCTGCACCATTGTGGATCGCCGCGGACGACCGATTACAGAGGGCCAGTCGGATTTGAGTGAGGACGTGGTGGGGGATGCGGGGGGATGGGGGGATACGCGCCGGGGAAATAGAGTCGCGTGGTGCAAGGGGAGTCCGGGGGAGGATAAGTTTGCACGAGTGCTTTTGGCGAGGGTATGGGGGGATGGAGAGGAGTGAGACGAGTTACTTGGGGGATATAGAATACAATGAGAAGGGGTATATACTGGGAATGTTTACTACGTCTGGGACTGATCAGTCACCATGCTTTCCTTGTACTCGATTATACGATATACAACTTCAACCCCTTCATTCTTGCCCGACTACCTTTAGCACCGCAAACTAACACATATACACACACACACACACACACGCCGTGAATTTAGAAAGAAAAAAACAAAAGAAAACAGAAAATTTTTGAGCATCCTGAATATCTGATTGGTGGAACCCCTCCTGTTTTTTTTTCTCCTTGTGTACTGTATCGCCTTCCCTTCTTCTTCTCCTTCTTCTTCTTCTTTTTTTTTGGGGGGGAGGAGGGGGCGGGGGTTAATCCCCTGGTGGTACGTACACATACATGCTACATGCGTAACATCATCCTGTGCAATGCTACACAGCAGCAGCAGCGCCAGACGTTATCTGTGCACGGTGGGGGAGAAAAAGAAAAAAGTTTTTTTTAGAAAAAAAGTAAAACAGGTGTGTTACACGACGCGGATACGAAAGCGAAAAAGCAGAGAAAAAAAATTCATAGAGAGAAAAAGAGAATAAAAAGAATCATGTCTGAGCGGGGGGGGGGTCCCGAGGATATGGATATTCTCCGGTTGAGGGGAGGGAGGGGGGGGAAATGCAGTGTTACGTTGCTCTTGTAATTTTTTTTGGACCCGTTTAATAGAAACAAAAAGGAAACTCACTCCAAGTCACTTTTTTTTCCTTCTCAGCATCAATCATTTGTTTGGCTGAGAGAAGACGGTAATTCAGGCCCAATGACACATACAATTGTTTTAGGTGCACGAAACAATCAAGTCAACCATTTTATGGGTGATTTTGACGTGCCGACACAGCAGCTTTCACAACATAGTGAAAACAAGCCAGTCATATTGCCTTGCAAAGTGGAAAAAAAAGCTTGGATTGGTAATACGATGTACGTTCAATGTCTATCTCCATCAATTCTGTTACGACACCCTTCATTCATGTCGTAAACGGTGCTTACTGCATCACACCTTCATCGAGCCAACAAGAAATATGGATTAGGGCAATGACCCCGCAATCAGGGGGGGCGCCATGGGGAGAAGAAGAAGAGGAAGAAGAAAAAAAAAGAAGAAGACAATGAAGAAGATGATGATGATGACGAGGAAGAAGAGAACAGGACACGATTGGGCTGAACCGGGTATATCTTGTGATGCCTGCCCGAAAAATGCTGTGGAGCACGAGCTCCGTGTGCGCGCGGTAGATGCAAGAAAATAGGTAAAAACGTCCGTGAGAGGGGAAGGGGAGGGGGGGGAAGGGGGGGGTGCTGGATTGGAACTGGGGGGGAATATAATCATAAACGATTGCAAGCCATGCTGCTAAGACAATGGCAGAGGAAAGCAACGCCCGCTGTGGAAATGCAAGAATCAAAACAAAATGCTCCCATTGGTGGTACAAAAGTACGGGCTGAAGGCCTTTTGTCGACTTGAAATGTACCCCACGACTTTTTTAGACTAGTCCAAGGCGTCGTCATTGTGCAAAGACTCCGGGCTGGTGACCTGGCGGCATTCGCGATGCCGTCCACGAGAACATGGCCATGTCGCAAATGCGCGCAAGAACCTGTTGGCTGGCCGCGCGGCTTTCATGGCTAATAAAAGACATGGCAACGAGAAGCTTATTCAAGTCGCTCTCGGGAGCCTGGTTGACTGGTGCTGGTAAGGCGTTGGGGAAGCCGCCGATGCGGCTACCATAGTGGCGTGCAATGGCAATCGAGTAAATGGCGTCGCGCACTTCGTGCATGCGCAAGACACCGCGTATCACGCCAAGGGCGTTATCGGCCGCTCCGGGAGGCGCAGTGTCCGAGTCGGAGAATTGCACAAAATCGCCCAGGTGGAGCCAAAAGTCGACTTGCATCCTAGCTTCCTCGTCGAGGTTGGCGGGGTACGACAGTTGGCGCAGCGGATTGGGCTCGAGGTTCTGGTTGGTCAGAAGGGCCTCGAGAATGTCAAAGCGGGCACGGGCTTCTCGTAATGAAAAGTCGTCGTTTTCTGATGTTGCGCCGTTGGTGGGTGGGGGGTTGTGTTTGCACGTGCCCAGCAAGTGCCATAGCAGACGGGCTTCCTGGCTAAAGACGCCCGTCATGTCGGTGTCGGAGGCCTTGTACTTGATGGTCTCGGTAAAGTAGGCCGCCTCTTCGTGCAGCGATCGGTCGCTAAAGACTCTGTTGAGCGCATTGTTGTCTGTCGAGAACCACGTGGTTTCGAGCACAAGGTCGAGTCCCTGGCAGTAGTCGTTGATGAAGATGCGGCTGAACTCGTCGTCAATCTCACGGGGCACGGGCGAGGTGCGGGCGGGGACTTCTGGCGGGCTGTGGTTACATATGCCAAAGACGTCGGTAATGTGCAGTCGCTTGCCTGTGGGCGCATGTGTCAGCAGTGAGGTAGTGTGACGAGCAGCAGCAGCAGCAGCAGCAGCAGCAGCGGCGGCGGCATCATGGGGACCAACCTTTGAGCGGCTCTGGCGGAGGCGGGTAGGCGTTGGGGCCGGGAGGACCCCTCATGGCAGGGTCCATGGCGTGACTGGCGTTGTAGTGCTGGGCTGACTGCAGGGCCGGGTCTGCCTGGGCAAGTGCGGGATCGATGGCGTGGAAGTTGGCAGGCTGGTGCTCGCCGCTCGTGGCAGGCGCGGCACTGGCGTAGCCGGCCGAAGAGGCAGGAGCGTAGCCTTGGGGCACCGGGCTCTGGCTGTATGCTGAAGGCGGCGGGGCAGGTGCGGGGGCAGCGTTTGTCGCCTGAGGCGCGGGAGCAGCGTTGGGAGCGGGTTGGATCTGAGCCGGCCCAGACTGCTGCTTGAAGATGGGATCATAGCCCAGACACTCGCGCTTGCTCTTTTGGCAGTTCCTGCACATGGGGTGGGCTTCGTCGCACTGTCGGGCCTCTGGTTAGTCCATGTGCATGTCGAGAACTTGGTGTTGGCACGAGTGCACCAAGAAGGAAAAAAACACCCCAGAGAGAAAGGAAAAAAAAATTGCAACAAGCTCGCCAGAGCCTCCCGCCCGCCGACTATGCCAGGCGGTGGCTGGCCGGGGACCACGAGCTGGCCCTTTTTTTTTCTTGGGTGGATTTTGGCAAGGAGCAGCTGGCGAGGCGGAGGAAGCTCCAGCAAAGGACGGGCGGAGGTTGGATTAGAGGAGTTTGGGTTTCTCGCTCGGTTAAGCAAGCGACAAGGCAATAGCTCCTCTTCTGACCTCGCGCGTCGCGTCGTTCGTGTAGTGCCATCGCGTACCATTGACAAGAGATAAATTTTTGGACTCACCTTGATTCTTCGCTTGCGACAGGTCAGGCAGCCCGTCTTTGTGCGGCGCTTGATCTCCTTCTTATGGCGACCGCCCGACAGGACTCGCTGGTCGGGCTGCGGGGGCAGCTGGTATCGCATGGCATTGAATTGAGGGCCCATGTTGGTCATGATGGGCTGGCCGGGCTGCGCGTGGGCTGGGTGTGGATAGTACTGCGGCATTCCGTGCTGCGGCGGCGGGAGGGGCGAGCCCATGGGCTGGGGCTGGTGCTGGTGCTGGTGCTGGGGTTGCGCCTGCGGTTGCTGGGCGTCCTGCAGACGGATTGGAGGCAGATTGAGGGGCGGCAGCGACATGTTTGAGCCCTGGGGAGAGCCTCGATAGGCGTCGGTCGTCTGCTGGCCCTGGGGCGGCGGATAGGTGTAGGTGGGCTGCATCGAGGGCGACGGGTACGAGTGCGGTGAGGGATAGGCGACTGTCTGCTGTCGCGACTGCTGCACGTTGGGATCGGCCATGGTTTGGAGCGAAAAGAGCGATGACGCGGGCGAATATGGCGCAGAGTTGATCTGGGAGGAAAAGTCGTGCGACATGAGCTAGCAGTGGACAAGGCCGCCGGGGCGCAACACACAGGCACGCACACGTCGGCGGTTGAGTGTGAGAGTAGGCGTGCGCTAGAAAGCTTGAGGCAAAGGCAGATGGGAAGAGGGACGGCAAGCCTGGCAAGGAACTGGGATTAGCTGGGTTGGCGAGGGCGTTTTGACCCGCGGACAGGGGCCTGGCCGCGCTCGGTTCGAGCAGCGAGGGTGAGGGCGCCGGCCTTGCACGGCGACTGCGGCATAGATTAACGCGTTGGCGACTGTCTGTTTTGGGGCGGGCATGCGGCTGCGACAGGGAATGCGCGAGTGTGGGTGTGTGTGGGTGTGTGTGGGAGGGTGCATGTGTGGGTGGATGGGCGATGATGATGGGTGGAGGGTGGGTGGAGGGTGGGTGGATGGGTAGAAGGGTGGATGAATGGATGTACATGGCGCACAAGCAGAAGGGGCGCGAAGGGGGGGCAGCAGCAGCAGCGGCAGCAGCAGCAGCAGCAGAGAGAGAGAGGCAGACTGCCTACACCTACACTGCTAACCCACCACACACATCCACCACGAGGGCCAGCTGGCAGCGGCAGGGGGGAGGGCTAGCCGCCTTTAGCAGGTCCAGAGGGCGGCGCATGTGGCAGTGGCAGTGCTTGGGGCCTTTTTGGGGCCGTCGACGGACTGCGGATTGCCGACTGCGGACTGGCTGGACAAAGGAACGGGGGGACTCTTGACTTACAAGCGAGTTTCTCGCTTGAGCGGAAGGTAGCGAGCAGGGTACGGCGGTACTAACGCCTCGCCTCGCCTGGCACTGGCACTGGCACTGGCACGCACAGTGGCTGGCACGCGCAGTGGCTCTGGGTGCGGAGGGCTGCCTTGTGCTGGCTGGCTAGTAGCTGGTGGCGGTGGTGGTGGTGGTAGTGGTGGTGGTGGTAGTAGATAAGGTGCCGCTGCGGAAAATGCAGGGTGGAGCTTTGCTGTGCTTGCAACCCCCCCGGACACGGCTCTGGCAAAAAATAAGTAAAAACACCACACGCCCTGCGCTAGCCCGCTTCCGGGCACAGTCACGTGCACACTGTCCCACCGCTCTCTCTCTCTCTCTCTCTGTCTCTCTCGGTGTGTGTGGGTGTCCCTCCCTCTCCCAGGCCCATCCTACACCTACTACATGTACTCTATCCACACCCCTTCCCATTGCCATTGCCATTGCCATTGCCATGCACATGCTCATGCCCATCCACACACCCACACCCACACCCACGCCCCCACCCAACCAGGCCGCCGCCCTGTTGGCGCGGGTTATACAACCTACCGATAATTTGTTATTTGAACTACCGATAAGCCCGCTAAGCAGGGGTCTGCATTAGCGTTGTAACATCTAAGCTGTATATAGTTAGTACTGTAATAAAATATCTTGGCGCTCACAGCTATACTTTAAGAAGGTGAATTTAATACTTTCTTCTCTTCTTACGTAGTAACTGGTGCGTATAGGCCTACGAGCATCTTCTTGAGCCTATATGGAAGCCAGTTTCGGAGCCTATATGGGAGCCCGTTTTGGAGCCCATATTCAAGCCAGTTTCGGAGCCTATATGGGAGCCCGTTTTGGAGCCCATATTCAAGCCAGTTTCGGAGCCTATATGGGAGCCCATATTCGAGCCAGTTTTGGAGCCCATATGGGAGCCCGTTTTGGAGCCCATATTCAAGCCAGTTTTGGAGCCCATATGGGAGCCCATATTCGAGCCAGTTTTGGAGCCTATATAGAACACCAAAAAACGAGCAGTATAGCTAGTTCTCCAGCTTCACTTTCTACCACCACTATTTCTATCTCTCTATCGCAGCATTACTCTATTTCTATTAACATAGTAGCTATATTACTGTAACTTACAAAGAATACTACTAATGTTTTAGCTAAGCGCGCTATGCCCGACTCTGGCTTAGCGGGCTTATTGGTAGGTCAAATAACAAATTATCGGTAGGTTGTATAACCGCCGCCCTGTTCTTCCTGCAATCAGCATCCCGCCCGCCTGGCTGCACGCCCCTGATTGGCTGCAGCGCCCGTGGGCAACTAAGTACCTTGCCCGCCGCCCCTCCCACTGGCAACCCGTCCACGGTCATGCATCACTTGTCATTCCATCATGGACAAGATGCTCTGCCTCTGCCTCTTGCCGCCCTCGCCCTCGCCTGCGCATCCCCGTCTCCCACGGTGCCAGCCAGCGCCCCAACAGCGCCCGTCCGCCGGCCCCCCCCTGCCATAGTGTCGCTTCCGCCACGCCTCGCCGCCTCGTCTAGACGGGTGCGCGTGGCTTGCCCATGCAATACAAGCCTGCCCTGGCCGACGCTCCCTTGGCCTGCGCCCTCGGCACCAACAGCGCGCCTCGCTTCCAAGGCAAGGCAGGCCAAGCCCAGGCAGGCAGGCAGGCAGGCAGGCAGGCAGCGTGCTCACATCACCCTCACCCTCATGCTGCTCACACTCTCCCTCGCCACGCCACCCGATGCCACCCCAGGGCAGGCCAGGCCATGGCATGACGTAGCCGCCAGAGGGCGAGCTGGTGCGCTGGCCACTGGCACTGGTCCGACTCGACTCGACTTGTGCACTGCACACTGCACACTGCACGCTGCATGCCCGGGCCGCGTTGCCTTCCTAGTGGCGCCTGGCCATGTCTGATGATGCGCAAAGAGCGTGCTGACCGTGGGCCAATGTCAATTTCCCTGCCTGGCACATTTACCCGCAATGTCTCAAGCGCTCCAGCACCATCCACCCGCGATGCAGTGTCAGAAACTAGACTCAGCACCTCCCGCCAGAAACGGCTTTCGGTGCTATCCACGGTCCCTCGGCGGATAAATCACCTCACATCCATGGCCTTGACGCGGTCCAGTGTGACGCTGCTGTGCTAGTTGCAGCCAGCGGAGACTGCTTGTCCTGCCACCCACAGGCACACTGGGTAGCACTGCAAACCAACCCTCTCCCGCCAACACGTGTCAAGAAATCTACTGGACACGCCGCCGCACCCCCCCTCCCCCTCTCCATGGACGGCCCAGCGACATGCAGCCCGCCCGCCCGCTGCTGCTGCTGCTGCTGCTGCTCGCCTTGGGTAGCGTAGCACCACCAGGCAGAGGCTGCATTGCCAACTCCACTGTAGTACAGCAAAAAAGACCCTGCCTGGCCCTAGGGCTGACAAGGCGTGCGCGTAAACGGCTGCTGGACTTGTGCAAGCAAGCAAGCAAGCAACCCCCCAGGGGTTGCGTGCGTGGGTGAGTGTGTGGCCCCCCGGTGCGACGACCGAAGACCAGAAAAAACGCTGCAGCCGTCTCTCCGCTCTTCCCCCCGAAGCCAGCTGCGTGTGCAAGGCATAGCGGCCGCCATGGTCAGGCTGTCGGCTGTTGGGAGAAAAACTTGTCTGGTATGGGAGCAAGGCGATTAGACAGCATTCGATCTCGTTTATCGCGTTATACAAAGGTGGCTTTCAAAAGTTCTTGCTAAGGCGCGGATCCATCGGACCGAATTCTCGTGATAACGTTTCCATTATTTACTTAGCGTGCAAGAAATCATGCCTAATATAGTTAGTGTTTTACTGTAAGTGTATACTTTAGTAGCTATTATTCTCTCCAAACTTCCATTTTAAGGGCTTTTAGTTGCGAATATAGTATAATTCTTAGTCTTCGGCTATATTTTCGGTAGTAACCAAGGAACCCCTGTCAGCAAGAACTTTTGAAAGCCACCTCTGTAGACACCGCCAGGTCAGGGATGATCCCAGCACCTGCAAAAGCATCGAACGTTTCTCGAACAAAGTTGTGCGCCAACCGAGCGAGCTTTGCGCATCATCCTTCCGCCCCGCGCGTGCGCAAAGCTCGCTCGGCACTGGCACTGGCACGCCGACCTTGGGACTGAACGCCCAAGCTGAGTCGTTCCGCACCCGTGAACGCCTACTGTGCGACTTTTGCCCTTGGCCACACCCACGCCATGCTTGGAGCACCAGCACCAGCGCCTGCAAAAAAGAATCAAGGACAAAAAAAAAACACACACACACACACACACACACAGCCTGCCAATACTCGCCATAGAGGATAGCACGCGCTGCCAATCACACCGCACACACTAATCAGGGCCCTCTCGCTGTACCGCACTGGCACCCAGATACGCAAAACGCCTGTCTAGCGCCGTCCTTTTGCAGCGCACTGCACCCATAAAAAATCACCGCATCCGCCTTTTTGCCTTATTAGATACCTGGGCAAAAAGACCCTGGCCAAGTTCACGCTACGGCTGTCGCGAACGCACTCGGCCTTGCATAACCCCGCGGGCGAGCGAGTGAGCATGAGCGAAGCGACCGCCCGTTGCACCACCCCAGTCAGCATCATGTAATCCCCGTGGACAGACCATACCAAGCTCCGACCACGCGCCCTGTAGCCCTTCCAGCCCAACTTGGTCATGCACTACACACTTACTATCCCAGCCCCAGGAAACCATGTGAATAACACATGCATCGATGCTATATGATTGCTGAGGTGGCTTTTTTTTTCCTTCTTTTTTTTCCACCTCTCACTTCCCTAAAATAAAATCATAACACGTATTACATCTTATTAGGTAAGGAGAAAGGGGGAGAGGGAAAAAAAATCTTTTCTTTTGTGCTTATGTATCTGCTAATCTGAACACGAGTAAGAGTAAAGACATGATGATGATGATGCAGAACGGTGAAACCTTTGTTTTCGAGTCATGTCTTTTTTTTTTCTTCTTTTCACTTCATCACGTATACTAATAATGCAAACAGTTCAAGTCACAAATCATGACAGGAATAAAGGAATGGGCAAATTACACCAACGCTCTTGTTCATTTTCGCCCATTGCATCACCCTCCTCCCCCCCCCTTCCCCCGTCCAAGATGCATGAAGAGGTATCTCCCATCCCGTCCTACCCTGCCCCATTCACAATCTTTTACGTACTCTTGAAAATTAAGAAGAATATAGAACAAAAAAGAGAGACAAGCATAAAAGATAACGCCACAGAATCCATATCCATATCCTGCTTTGCAAAAGAAAAGCAAAGGAGTAAATGCTAGTTAAAAAAAAAAGTTCGAACAAAAAGTGCCCATATGCATACCCACTGTAGTGGTACCACCATACACTGCCACTCTTCTTTTCCAGCAGACTTAGTCCGACTTGGGCTTCTTATTAGGCAATGCAGGCACCTTGAAGCCCGCTGCATCCACCTTGGACGCTCCCCCATTAAGCTGCGTAAACGACCCGCCCTTGAACCACCGGTCCTCGTCTGCTTTTCGCTTGCGGTTCACTTCTTCGCGTGCCTTGGGGTCCACCAGTTCCAGCCCTTGGACCGGCGTAAACGCAATCGAGCTGGTGCCCGCGCCACCAAGCCCCACGCCCCCCGTTCGTAGGCCCTGTGCCCGCAGACTCGTCGCCGTCCCCGCCGCCCCAAAGCCCTTGAGCGACGACGCCGCCCCAAGCGTCGTGTCGCCGCCCCAGCCCGCGTTCTTCTTGCTGAGCTTGGCCCGCGTCTTGGGGTCCATTTGCTGTGCCCGCAGCCGCCCCGTGTCCGTCGCTCCAATCATTCCCATTCCCTTGGTTGAGTCGCCATAGCCCACTTCCTTTTCTTCCTTGCCAAACGTCATGCGGTTTTGCGCCTTGCGGATCTCCGTCATGGCCGTCGCTTCCTTGGCCTTGCGCGCCCGTCTGCCTCCCCGCTTGCGCGACGGCTTTTCGTCGGGCACGGGAAGCGCGCGCTGGCCCTTTTGGTTCGCTGGGATTTCCGTCAACTTGTCTAGCCGACGCTCACATTCCTTGCGCAGGTCCATGCCAATGTCGGCGTTGCGCGAGCTCGAGTGAGCGTCGACACGCGCCGCTAGAATAACCTTGGCCGACACGATCCGCAGCGCCTGCTTCCGAAGGTCGGGCCTTTGGTTCTGGATAATCTCGCTGTGGTAAAGGTAACCTTCGTGTCTCAGGCCAATGTTGGACAGACCAACAGTAGCGCCAGAAACCTTGGTCGAACCAAGAGGGGCAATGTTGCAGGCCGGAGTTTTGGCCAAATTAGAGATACCTCCAGCATAGGAAATGAGATGCGCGGCTGTCAAGGACCCAATGAGCGCCGTTAGGTTGGGGCAAAACACCTCGGTTCGCGACTCGACGAAGCCCAAGATTTTGGACTTGGCTGCATTCAGTTCCAGTAGCAGGTGGCAGGCATTGGATATCAGGCTTAGCTCCGCCTCGTCAAGGAGCCGTCCTTCGACGCGCGTGGCTTCAATCTCAACAATCATGACCTGAGCAGGCTCGAGGCCTTCAATTGCCTTGAGCTGTGGCGTGATGGTTTTGATGTCCTTCAAAGGCCCGCCGCCAATAACCAGACATGCTCTTGCGTATACAACGGGATTCTTGATCAGATCCTCCAAATGTGGGAAGAATGCCGAGTAGTGATCCCGAATGAACTTGTGAACCGCCGCGATCTCGCCATCAATCTGGGTAGAGAACTCGTTTGCTTCGGTGAGGAGCTTGTATTCCGGTGACTCTTCAAACGACTCGCTGTCTACGACATCCATCTGGTCCTTGGTCTCCTCGATGCGCGTGAGTACGGATTCCAGGTTCGCTTTGAGTTGCTGAGCCGACCGGATGTCTGCGGGTCCCTTGTTGTCTTTCTTCTCCTTCTCCCTGTATTCGGCCTCCTCGTCGACCATGTCATCATCCTCATTTCCGCCCTCGGCAAAGTCATTCTCCAAGTCCTGAATGTCTTCGTCGCCGCTGTCGGCAAAGTCGGCCAGGAGCTCTTGCTCAAGGGTCGCCATGGTGGCGTGAGTGGTTGCGAGGGGTTCGCTGTTCGATGATCCGAAAACCAGGCGTGTGTGGCTGCGTGTGGACAAACAGTCGCAACGGCGGCCGGAGGTTACCCTCCTAGCAAAGTTTGGTTTGAGTGCTGGGTCCAGTAGCGCGCAGTAGTATACGTACCTGTCGCCTTGGGGTGGCCGCCGGTCGTCCTTGTTGTGCGCGAGGTTTGGTGTCGTGGGGAAAATGGCGAGTTTGCGACGGGCAGTGACGTGAAAGCAACCATGCTAGTTGCTTGGCGCGGCGCGGACAAAAGCTGCGCGCAGAAAGTCGCGTTCTCACCCTCTGGGAGCACTAGCCAAATAGTCAATCACAGTCCAGCAGCACTTTGCATACGCCCAACTCGCTGTCGCCCACCACTGGTGCTGTCCGTGGTCCTACTGCGCACGTATCCACGATTGTGTGCCGGCCTTTTGATCCGAGCTTCGCCAACTTCCTCACCCGACGCTCCCCAGTCGCAACTGCTTCCACATCCACACCAGACGCGCGCGGCGTCTTTTCCCACGTCCTCGCACATACCACCACTCCGTCCCATATATTTGAGGACGCTGTACGCAATTCGCAGCCATGGAGGCTTCACGAGGACCGCCGCGGGTCAAGAACAAGGCCGCCGCCCCCATCCAGATTTCCGCAGAGCAGCTTTTGCGCGAGGCCGTCGACCGTCAAGATGAGAAGCTCAAGGCGCCAACGCAGCGCTTTGCTGACTTGGAGGAGCTGCACGAGTTCCAGGGCAGGAAGAGAAAGGAGTTTGAAGACTATGTGCGCCGGAATCGCATCAACATGAACAACTGGATGCGTTATGCTTCCTGGGAGCTGGAGCAGAAGGAGTTCAGGCGTGCGCGATCCATCTTCGAGCGCGCCCTGGATGTCGACTCGACGTCTGTCGCGTTATGGCTTCGGTACATTGATTCGGAGATGAAGCACAGAAACATCCAGCATGCGCGCAACCTCCTAGACCGCGCCGTCACCATTCTTCCACGGGTCGACAAGATCTGGTACAAGTATGTCTACATGGAGGAGACCCTCGGGAACATTGATGGTGCAAGATCAGTCTTCGAGCGCTGGATGCAGTGGGAGCCGGATGAGGCAGCCTGGAGCTCGTACATCAAGTTGGAAAAGAGACATGGAGAGTTTGAGAGATGCCGTGCGATTTTCGAGAGGTTCACTGTTGTCCACCCAGAACCAAAGAATGTAAGTCCATCCTCTTGCAACTACTGCACTCAAGAGACTAACGATACGCAGTGGATCAAGTGGGCCAAGTTTGAAGAAGAGCATGGTACGAGCGACCTGGTGCGCGATGTCTACGGAACTGCCGTCACCACGCTCGGCGATGACTTTATGGACGAAAAGCTCTTCATGGCATATGCCAAGTTTGAAGCCAGGCTCAAGGAGCTGGAGCGAGCCCGAGCCATTTACAAGTTTGCCCTCGACCGCATGCCACGGTCCAAATCAGTCAACCTTCACAAGGCTTTCACAACTTTTGAGAAGCAATACGGAGACCGGGATGGCATCGAGGACGTTGTCCTGTCGAAGCGACGAGTGCATTACGAAGAACAAATCAAAGAAAACCCCAAGAACTACGATGCATGGATCGACTTTGCGCGGCTGGAAGAGACGTCTGGCAACCAAGACCGAGTTCGCGACATTTACGAGCGAGCGATTGCGCAAATACCCCCCACACAAGAGAAGCGACACTGGAGGAGATACATCTACCTATGGCTATTCTACGCGGTTTACGAAGAGACCGTCTCACAAGACATTGAGCGGACACGTCAGATATACCAGGAGTGTATCCGCTTGCTTCCACACAAACGCTTTACCTTTGCCAAGGTCTGGCTAATGTTTGCCCATTTTGAGGTGCGGCAAGGCCAGCTTACCACAGCACGCAAGCTCCTGGGTCAAAGTTTGGGCATGTGCCCAAAAGATAAACTTTTCAGAGGATACATTGAGCTCGAAATGAAGCTCTTTGAATTCAACCGCTGCCGACAGCTCTACACCAAGTACATTGAGTGGAACGGATCGAATTGCCAAACTTGGATAAAGTTTGCCGAGCTGGAACGTGGTCTTGATGACCTCGACCGTGCGCGGGCTATTTTTGAGCTTGCCGTTGAGGAGCCACAATTGGACATGCCTGAGCTCCTCTGGAAAGCGTATATTGACTTTGAAGAGGGCGAGGGCGAGTACGATCGCACACGCGCACTTTACGAGCGTCTCCTGCAAAAGACCGATCACGTCAAGGTATGGACTTCATGGGCTCAGTTCGAACTCGGAGTTCCCGACGAGTCAGCACCCGAAGACGACGAAACTGTCAGCGATGCTGCCAAGGCTCGCGCGCGCGAAGTCTTTACGCGTGCTCATGCACGTCTCAAGGAACGCGACCTCAAGGAAGACCGCGTGGCTCTGCTTAGCGCTTGGAAGTCCTTTGAAGACGTCCACGGCAGCTCAGAAGACAAGGAGAAGATTGAGAAGCAAATGCCACGCAAGGTTAAGAAGAGGAGAAAGCTGGACGACGATAGCTTCGAGGAGTATGTCGACTACGTATTCCCTGCCGACGATGAGAGCGCGGCGAAATTGGCAAAACTCATGGCGAATGCACAAAAATGGAAAATGGCACAGGCTGCACAGGCAGCGAGCAAGGAGAAGGAGGAGAGCACAAACGCAAATGGCGAGTAGAGCATATGTGTCACATACGAGCAGGCATGCTTATAGGATGCATGGTACCGGTGTTGCGTCAGCAGACGACTATACACTATAATCGGATTGCCCATGTCTCCTTCCTATTATGTCTAGATGCTGTATCGCTAAAATGATGACTATTGCATGCACCTCTCAGCCGCCGATGACGTCGGGCACCCCGACCCCATGCTCGACTTACCTAGGTACCTCGGCATCTTCCCCAGATTTCCCTAGTCTCCGCGTCTGAGCTCCGCAACTTCACCACACATACACACCGTGTCCCAACCATTCACCACCCTGGCTGTTTGCGAGCTGTGCTGTTTCTGCAGCCCCCTGGATCTATCGACACTACAGCCATAATGCCTACTTCACAGCCCAAGGTCAAGCAGCAAGCCGTAAGCAGGGAGCTTTCCGAGCCTCTGCCAACGGCCGAGACATTCGAGGGTATGCGTGGAATTACGAGTATAGCTGGGGACCTAGGAAACCAGTGAGTGTGAGACATCACGGAAGGTTGTTGAGCTGGAGCTAACGCATCTCCAGACGCGTCAAGGGCAAAGTCATTATCGTGACGGGTATGCACAATACTACCGTCGCAGCGCTCTCAGTGTTGAAGTCTAACACTGCTTTCAGGGGCAAACTCTGAAATCGGCATTGGACGCGCCAGCGCGCATCAGTTCGCACGTCACGGCGCTCGTGCAGTCTACATTTGCGACTTCTCCGACTCCCATCTTGACAAGCACAAGCGCGAGCTCAACACTCTTTACCCCTCGACAGATATACATACGCGCCAATTCGACGCTGCAGATGAGGCCTCTGTTCAAAAAGTGTGCCAAGACGCACTGGATACCTACGGCCGCCTCGATGTCTTTTTCGCCAATGCAGGAATCGCCTCTGGTAGGGTGTTTTGGGAAGAAACCACCGAAGGCTTCATGAAGATGATGCGCACAAATGCGCTTTCGGTATTCTTGGCAGCCAAATACGCTTCTCGCGCTATGCTCAAGACGTCCGAGGAAAAGCCGTATCCCAGTGGTAGCATCATCGCCACTGCGAGCGTAGCGGGTTTGCGCTCGAATGCCGGGCCCACGGACTATGCCGCGTCCAAGGCTGCAGTCATCAGCCTGATGCAGACCTGTGCATATCAACTTACCGGCTCGGGCATCCGATGTAACGCCATCTGCCCCGGACTGATTGAAACGGGTATGACAAAAGTAACCTATGATGCAGCGAGGAAGAGGGGAAACGAGAAGAAGATTGGCCAGCTGAACCCGCTGCAGAGGGGAGGTCAGCCGGACGAGATTGCCCGGGCTGTCTTGTTCCTAGCAAGCGATGAAAGCAGCTATGTCAATGCACAGGCATGGGCTGTGGATGGTGGATTGAGCGGAGGGTTGCCTTTTGTCCCAGGAAAGCTGGCATAACCTAGGCGGTGGCTTTACCATGTGATACTAGGAGCGTTTCAAGAGGATGCTTTGCAGACAATGCTCGAAAACCGTTGGTTCTACAGCGCAGAGCCCACTATTCCCATTGCAACCCCCTTGGTCGTTCCAGTGCAACGATGCGATTGTGTTAGTCGTATGTTTCTCTTGGAACTCTCGATGCGTTGATTTGGTGTGAGACGGTTCAGACCCACGCAACAACCACACACTACGCCCACTCACATGGCATGCTTACAGATTGCGCTGGACGACATTCACGTTAGGAACAGGTTGAGATGCAGGGCGCTGTAGAACAGCGCAAGCTACCATGGCCGTCTCAACAGTTGCAGTGCCGATACAATATGCTTGTCACTTCTGAGGTTGCACCAAACCCTTTGTAATTTGCCATTCACCTTCATCTCATCCGTCGATTCACCCTTTGGATCGAGTCTGAGTAATCCAAAACAAAGTAACCGAGACCTCGACGAAACCGTCGACACCACACCCACTTTACCAAAACCCAAGCGCACCCTTCCTCGCAGGTCCTCAGCATGGCGCAGCCCGCGCGTGTCCCGGTAATCTACCTCAGCGGCTTCAGCTGCATCCCCAGCGACAAGGAATACTTTGTAGCACAGCAAGCAACCGGGAGCCTGACACCGTATTGGTTTGAAGAGCGAGTGGCATACGAGATTGCGGGCGCACAAGGAGAAAGGCAGAGTGCGATAGCGAGGAGACTGAAGAGAGACGGATCCATTCGACGGGTTTCCAACTACAATGAGAAGGCGAAGGCGAAGGCGAAGGGCAGGTTGTTGGAAGCGAAAGAGGGCGGAAATGATAAAGGGGTAGGGGGTAGCGAGGAGCAAGTCAAGGAGACAGAGAAAGAGAAGGCGAGGGAGAACAAGACAGCGCGAGAGAAAACATCATCTCTGCGCCTATCTCTTCTGTCAAGATCAAAAGCCGCTGTGAAGAAGAAGCATGCGAGTCTTATCTCGGCACCAAATCTTCTGGGCAAAGGACACCAAGGAGACGAGGAAGAAAAAGAAGCAAGCATACAGATTAGCCAACAGCAAGAAAGCAAAGCCGCAGAGAGTAACGAAGAAGCGACAATAAAGAAGAACGAGTTGACGATAGAGGAGGAAGCGGGGAAAGAAGCGAAGCCATCACCACCAGGACGAGCACGAAGACCAACCACGCCTCTTCTTCTTTTTCCTCCGCCGCCGCCGCCGCCGCGCAAGCGCCAACAACATGTTCCACGCGGCACGGCACCCATACCACTGCTGCAGGATGCTCAACCACCAGCAGGAGCAGTGGTTTCGTCGCAACCTTTAGCCCATGGCCAGCCTGGAATGCAGTATGCAGCGACTAAACCGGTGAGTGTTCTTTTCTCTCCTCTCATCCAGTCACTTCATCTCTCATCTCTCACCTCTCATGCTCTCATTCTTTTTTTTTCCATTCATTCCAAATCAAAAAAAAATCGTGTAGTAGCTAGCTACATAGTTAGATAATAACATGGAGCATCTTAGAGTTTTCCAGTAGCTAATACGCAAAATGGCAGAGTGTGATACAAGAAGATGCTTCGCGGGGTTTTGAAGAAGAGCAAGGGCAAGCAGAACAGGCTACACCGAGGCGTGGTTGGCGTACCTGTGCCATCGCGATGCGATGTTGTGGTTGATCCGACGTGTGTCCATGAAGTGGCACGATTCAGCGTGTGGGATAGGTAATAGCTACTACCTGTTGCGCACAAGGCGCTGGGTATAATGACTGTACGGCTTCTTTCCATGATATACACTCACTCTACTACGAAGTGCAGTCGCTTCGTTGCTTCAGCGTTGAAGCTGGCTCATCAAACTCTAATTTCCATATGTCCAAGAGACGACCAAAAGAAAGAAGAGACAAAATTTCATCCACGTACTATATCTATCTATAAGCAGATGATTTGCAGATGATGAGGAAGAACAATGGGCAAAAAAAGAATCGGCTGGTCACTACGAGGGTCGAACTCGCGACCTTGGCGTATCATACAAGGTATTAGCACCACGCTCTAACCAACTGAGCTAAGCGACCGATTGATGGAAAAAATTTGGTTTATTGAGCGTCTATTCGCATTACAAACATATTAGTGGTGAGCAGAAGAAGGTTCTGGTGGGTCTAGAGTCATACTCGACACTCAACAGATGAAATTTGCAAAACATGTAGTGGAAGGAGAAGTAAAAACTGTCATTAGACATTATGTGCATGGCAAGACAAGCCTAGATTATTTTGATGCGTAAACTTCATTTCAGAGCAAGAATCTACCAAAACAAAGAGAAACAAGTACAGAAACAGAAACAGAAACAGCAGGATGGTATCATTAGCACCCAGAAAGGGTCTCTCTAGTGCAAGGACCTCTGTCATGAACGCCCCTGGACAAAGCGCAAATGAGAATGAATAAGACATTAAATGCAAATTGTCCGCCTTTTTGTGTTTCTATGCGGGAGACTGAGAAGAAACAAAACACATGGGGCTTCTTACCGGTCCCGTATATTACAACGCAAGAGCCAGAAAGGTATGTAGTGAGAAAGGTACGAGTATGTACGCCCGAGAAAACGCCGATTGTTATGGTACAGTACAAAGTGTAATGTAGCAGGTAATGTATGGGGGGGGGGGGGTATTTTTGGTCGAAGAGTAGAACAAGGGGGTTGTGTTATCGTGAAGAGGGGGTCCAGACAAGTACTGAACTTGTAGATCTGCGACGGGACGGGAGGATGGACGTGGCAGGTGGTACTTTCACTGTAGGAACGTTCCCTTACAGGTTATACGCGGAGTTTAATCGGGTACTCGGGGTACGCGGGACCCGCAAAGTCGACCGGCGTTGATGAAACCGAGGAGGGCTGAGTCGACGGCAAGAGCACAATGTCGGCTTCACGGTCGCCCTCGGTCCATTGCACTTCCATCTTTCTTTGCTTTTCCCGACCCGTCTCTACTAGTCACCTCCGTTGTCTCGAGTGTGAAGTTTCTTGCGAGGGTGACAGGCGCGGACTGTATTGGTCGGGTGGGTATCGAAGAGGGGGTGAGCGACGAAGGGACGGCGAGTTGCGCATGTTCTCCGAAACAAGTGTTGCTGCTGCACTTTGCGTCAAGGGCGTCATGCTCCCAGCCACGGGGGTTCCTTTTGAAGAGCCACCGCTGCCGGGTTGGTAAGAAGTCCGGACTGTAGATGGCGTTGCAGGTGAGCGGCCGGCACCCCCTTGGGGTGCACGAGGAGTGGTATCCCTGCTGCCGCCCTCTGAACGCCGGTGTGCCGTAGACTTTGGTGTACCTTCGTGGCTGCCGCCTTCTTTTTGGCGAGGCACAGACTTGCTCGCCGTATTTGCTCGACTGCGCGCAGCACTCGATGACCGTACGGGTATTGTGGGCTCTGCTAGAGGCGGTCCGTCAGCCGCTCTCCGCGTGTTTTGCTGACTGCGCGGTGTAGAAGCAGCAGCAGCAGCAGCAGCAGTTCGGGTTGCAGATTCGGGAGCGCCGCCACTTGCTTGTGGAGAGGGCTGTACAGCAGGCTCTGGGCTTGCCATTCCTCCCACGCGCGGTGTACCTTCCCAGCTCTTGCGCTTCATCATGCGGCCTAGAATGCCCACGAGTTCAGCAGCATCCTCGAACTCGATATCATCCATGGCTTCTTGGGCACGGTACACATCCTTGATGGCACGTCGAGCGACGCGCCGTGATGCGTCATGGTCGTGAAGGCAGTCCCACAGGAAGGCACTGTGTTCAAGGGCAACGGATAGTCTCAAGGGGTGTGATCCAGGGAGAAACGAAGTGGCGTATTGCGTGGCAGTTGTAAAGTAACCACTTGCCAGGGGCACAAAGTTCAGGGGTGGGAGGATGAAGGACGAAGGCTGTGGGATTGGAACCGGGTTGAGACCTGGAGGCGCGTTGATGGGTGGCACTGGTGAGGGAGTGCCGACTGGGCCTCCTGCAGCATATGGATTCGTGACAAACGAGGTCTCGGACACGATGGAGTCGACAGGCTCACGAAGGACAGGTTGTTTACCTGTTCGCTTGGATGGGGGAGATAGGGCCGAAGAGTCTGTCTTGCGGGCGTTGGCATTGGCGTTCTTGGGTGACAGTGGTGGCAGGCCTGGGTTACGGGGATCGGTGCTCGTCATGTTTGTGGCTGTGACGGGCGGTTGGTTGTGAAAGAGGCAGAAGATGTGATAGAAGCTGGCTCGGAGCTTGACGCTCAAGACTCTGCACTCGGGGCCATGCTGGTTGTCCTGGGCATAGGGAAGGACGTACAGCTCCAAGATGGACAGGCCCTCGCGAGACATCCACAAGATGTGCTGGTAGGCGGCAAGCGAGGGAGTGTCTCGGCTCGTGTCTAGCTTGCGGAGCTTCCTGGCGCGGATGAGCCTTCGGGCCAGCAGCACTGACAGGCCCAAGATCTGATAGAGTGCGCTGGACAAGAAGGGATTGGATTCCTCTGTCTGCTTTGCTATGCGACCGAGGAACTTTTGGTCAAAGTCCAGGGAAGCCATGTTTGGGCAGTGCTGTCTGGGGCTCGTCGTAAGCCTGGGGTGATACGGCAGGGCGGTAACGAATAGGGGCGGTGATGGCAGGGGGAGAAGGAGGAGGAGGAGGAGGAGGACTTACCGTATTTAGCAGCCAACCCGGACCGTCGCGCTGTATCTCCAAAACGACAGACACAGTGCAGCCCGGCCCAGGCTGACCGATGGAGGCCTTGGAAGGGTACTGGCGAGGAGACGCAGAGGTGAAACCAGAGCAACGAGTGGTGGCCAATCGACGTGGCGGCCAACTGGGAATGGGGTGGGCGTGCACGGGCCCTTGTTCGAGTGAAGGTGGGTTCTCGTGATGGGGCGCACCCAATGCAGGGAAGCGCGATGAGCCGGAGATTTGTTTGCAGCAGACGATGGGGGGGGGGGGGGCTAGGCCATGGGGGTGGTGGGAGAGAGCGTGTGGTGCATATGTATATGGGCGGGCGCAACGAGAGCAGCGATGATGGTGATGGCGATGATGGCGATGATGGCGTGGTGGGTGGAGCAGGTCGGCAGTGAAGCTGGCGATGGATGGCGCAAGGCCAGGCCAGGCAAGGCGTTGGACAGCTGGCAGGCAGTCAGTTCAGGCAGTCGGGCAGGCAGGCAGTCCATCTGTGACGCAGCCGTGGCAGCGCACTGCTACGGTGCCAGCATGGCGGAGCGATGCTCACTAGATTGCAGATATCTCGAAACGGGTAGACGGAGCGGGCGGGCGTCGTGGGCTGGGACCAATGCCGCGTCGCTATTCGGCAGTGGGGGTGACGGCGGAGCCAATCGAAGCGCCCGGCGGGCCAACAGCACGGGGGCTGGGGGGATGTTTCTGTGGCGGCAGAACGCTAATGGGCGCAGGTGGACAGGACAGCTAATGGCGGGCGGGCGAGGGCGTGGGCGTGGGCGCGATGCTTCCGACAGCGCATTGCGGCCGTCGTCGAGACCACAGCGGAGCAGCTCGAGTATCGCGGGGGCGGCTTTGCGACAGCGCCAGCGACAGCGACGGCGACGGCGACGGGCTTAAAGGGCCGTGACGTCGGCAGGCGGTGTGTGGCAGCGGTCAGTGCAGCCGTCCTGGGCGACGCCGCCGACAGAGCGCACACGCACTCTGTCTCTCCCAGGCCTGCACCTCGATTCTGCCTTTTCCGGGATGCGCCCTCGACAGCTGACCAGGCGTGCTTGTCCTTGGTGTTGTTCTCCAAGAGCCGGCGTGCGCGCAATGGCCGACCGAGGCGGGGCGGGGCGGGGGGGGGGCGGCGAAGGCGAGGGCGAGGGCGTCGAGACAGCCTCAATGGCAATGGCAATGGCAACGGCAACGGCAGCACCAAACACCACCAGCAACGGCCGCAAAAAGAGAAGAATGGCAGGGCGAACGCAGAGGAAACGGGTGCTAGTAGTAACCCGCCCAAACCATCCGCCCTCGTGGAGACGCAGCCCAGCTCCTGCGTCAATCTGCAGCCAGGCGAGCCATGGTGGGCTACGTGTCAAGCGTCAAGCGTCAAGCCCGTCCGCTAAGCTCTTGCCGTCTGCTGCATGCTCCATTGTCCGGCAATAGTTCAGTGCCAGCTGGCACCCACAGCCCTCTCTCCAGCTCCTCTTTTGGCGCAATCGCCACCCCTCCCACCATGGCCAGCATGCACGCCCAGCCCTGTGCCGCAGCTGCGTCTCAGACGAACGACGACAGCCGTTTGCCAGCGCATCCTAACACCGCCGCCGCCTCACACATGGCCGCCAGCATGCTAGGTGTATGCTCGCTCTCGCTCCATGGCAACACCCCGTCCCCCCCAGCCTCCAGCCACAGGCCAACACCGCCGACTGCACCGTCACCGTCGCCATGCTGTATGCCTTCTGCAACCCCACGGTGGGGACTAGCATCATGCATGCTGACCGTGTGCAGGCAGAGAAGCAGCAGGGCCCTGCCATGCCGTCCTGACTTGTCCTGGCCCCGCGACACGCATGGCCCCAAGTAATCTGCACGGCCCCAGCTATCGAGGCAGAGACCGAGTCAAAGGATGCTCGACCTGTGCCTGCATCGGCTCGCATGCCACCACGGCCGTATGCTCATCGCAACTACGTAGCACTAGCACCCGCCCAAGGTCAGCCATCGTCTCGTCATCTGCCCTCCCAAAGCAAGACTGGTGACGCCTCGGCCTCACAATGACTCCACCTGAATTGGCGGTGAAGCCATGCCCTGATTGGATACGCGCTTTGCGGTACATGTTAGTCGACCTGCTATCCGTCTCCCGCAAACACCAGTCTGCGCCATCTCGCCAGCCCCCGAGACGACTGCACTGCAAACATGACGTGAGGCATATGGGCGGCCACGCTGCAACGACCGCGCTGGCATACCCAGCCACGACGCCGACGGATGCGCCCGGGAGCCGCTCCCTTTCCCTTGGACACTCAAAGTGTTGAATCTTGACATCAGGATACCCTGGCTCCCGTTTTCCTCAAAGCATGCCACCAAGCATTGGGCCTGTCTGCCGCATTGTCGTCATGGCCTGACGTGTAGGAAAACATCAACATCAGCCAAGCTAGACACTGGGTCCTCCAAATCAAACAAACAACCACAGCAGCGGCGGCGGCCATTGTGCTACTGCGCCCGGCAAGACAAACGTCAGTTGTTGTGAAGGCTAGTGTTGGGGCTGTCTCCCGGGCTAGGCGTCTGTAACCACGAGCACGTGCCCGTCATACACCAAGAGTTGGCGCAATTGCCTTGTACTCAGCCTACCCCGTGGATTCCGCCATCGCTTCTACGGCAGTGTGGCGGCATCTCGTCAAGACCAATCACAGCCAAGGAAGCGACTTGGCCTTGGCCGGGCCTCTGTGCAACTCCATGTAGTCTTTGTCGACATGGACTTTGGCCGTGTCGGCCAAGCACAAATACCAAAGCTTGTTGGACCAAGCGGATGTGCCTATAGCTGCTTGTTACTCGCAGGCGTCAAACTGCACGGTATCAGCAACACAGGACAATCATGATGCACACGGCAGACAACTCGCCATATAAAAGAAGTGGCAGATGGAGTCCACACTTGATACAGCACCAGTGACCTGTTGAGCCTCTTCGTATCTCTCTCTCTCTCTCTTTTTTTTGCCCCAGCCGCTTGAACATTGTCATTCGTTTTCTGCCGTTGTGGTTCGCATCGCTATCCAGCATTTCCAGCCCGGTATGGAGTCGAGGAAGTCGAGGCGAGGTGCAAAGAAAGGCCATGTCTTTGCGGCCTCGCGGTGTGTGTGTGTGTCTCGGCGATGCTAACCCATGGTAGGCGTGCAGTGTGTTGCGGGTCGATTGCTCGCTTGCGCAATGTGCTTTTACCACGCCTACTCGCACCAGTGCGGACACACACAGATGGTGTTCCAGCAACCATGTGCCAAAGGGCAAATGACACAGCAAAAGTGTAGCAGAGGGCGCGAGGGCGTGATCCTGGCGACGGTCAAGGTGGAGACGCCGTGCAGTACATGTCCGGGCAAGGTAAGACGCTTCCTCATACGTGTGGGCAGAGAGCAGAGTCTGACTGTGTGGGTAGTGAGGCAGGTGCAATACAAATAGAGTTGGATGGGGTGGCTCGTTAGGGCTGGCCGGGTTACAGACGAGACGAGACGACAAAGGATGGGCCGCCCGTTTCAGGCTAGCGGCGTGTGCTCGTGCTCGGGTGTGGCGCCGGGCAGGGTCTCGGTTCCGTCTGTCTGTATAGCAGTGGCGGTGCGTGTGCTCGATTGGGTCGTCAGTCGGGACTCGTCTAGACCTTGTACTATTACCCATGCCCATGGACATGGACGCTCGCGTACTGGATTGTAGAGTAGGTGTACATGTCGTGTAGACAAATGCACACGGCTTGGCTGTGCATGTGCACCGCCCTACCAAGTACTCGTGCTCGTGCTGGTGCTGGTAGCTTTTCGGGAAGCGAGGCGGCCCGTTGCGCCTAAATGGCCAGGATGAAGCCTGAAGCGGGTGCGGAAAAAACAAAGTGCAGCCCTCTTCCTCTCTTTGTTACCCCGCCGGGCCACTGCACGTGTGTGTCCATGGCGAAACGACCATGGAGTAGCACTAGGAGCATGGAGGAGTCGGGCAGGGCAGGGCCGGGTGCGGTGTAGAGGCCGCCAGGGATAGTAAGTGTAGTACCTTTAGACAGGCTCGCATTCGCGTTCGACCAGCGGCTGATTCAGTGCCATCGAGTGCCCAGGGGTGCTTCTAGCCGAGGCGGCACGGAAATTTCAACGCAACATGGCATTTGGGTGCACACCCACCCACCTACTTACACCCACACCCACACCCACATCCACATGGCCCCCCGAGGCCATGTATGTAAGCAGTCAGGCGGCGGCGGCGAAGACGATCACACGGTCAAGTCTATCTATGCTCGACGCCACAAACGGCGGCTGCAAACAAGAACATGCCCCTCCCCAAGGATCAGCGCCCTGGTCCCACGACTTGGTCCTACCTCGCTCCCCCGCCTGATTGGCTGCCCGTCCTCGGAAATGCTCCAACCGAGCCTCGCCCTCTCTGCCTCGCCCTCGCGCCATCGCATCGCGCGTCGGTTGGGAAAAGCTCGCTCGATCTGCCTACACCAGGCCGTATAGAATACGCCCCCATGCCTCGCTACCGTCGCGCCTTTGTGGTGGCGTTATCCATACCCGCCGACATGGCCCGCCTCGACTCTCCTTGGCCTGCTGCCGACTCCTCGCTCCTTGAAGCACCCCCAACCACATAGTCACTCGTGCACCTCGCTGCCAGCCCATATAGCCACAGCCTCGCATTCTGCCCCTTGCATCAACATTGACCTGGGCACGCAGCCGCCATGCACCCGACCGACACGCCTGTTAGCGCAGGCACTACCCTTCGCGACCAGGAATCCCATACCCACGAAACCGCCCCAGAGAGCACCCCAAGGCCAAAAGACGAGTCGCGCCCGAGCAACGATGCGCCCTCGGCCAAGGATGCCACCGCTGCCAATCAGTCGACAGACGAAAAGAAGCCCGGCCAAGTCACCACAAACGACGACAACACCAGCGAGCCCGATGCCGAAGACGAGTCCAAGTACCTCACTGGCTTCAAGCTGGCCATCCTCTCGGTCGGACTGTGTCTCACCACCTTTGTCATCGCACTCGACAACACAATCATCGCCACCGCCATCCCCAAAATCACCAGTGTCTTCAACAGTCTCGACGACGTGGGATGGTATGGCTCGGCCTATCTCCTCACCACCACTTCGCTGCAGCCCTCTTTCGGCAGAGTATACACCTATTTCGACGTCAAGTACACCTACCTCTCCGCACTCGTCATCTTCGAGGTCGGCTCCATCATCTGCGCCGCCGCAACCAGCTCAGCCATGTTCATCATTGGACGAGCTGTCGCCGGTGCTGGTGCTGCCGCCCTCTACTCTGGCGGAATGACCATTATCGGCTTCTCCGTGCCCCTGAGGAAACGGGCCATCTACATTGCCGCGCTATCCTCCATGTTCGGCATCGCCTCGGTCGTCGGTCCCATTCTTGGAGGCGCCTTTACAGACAAGCTCTCGTGGACCTGGTGCTTTTGGATCAATCTCCCCTTTGGCGCCATCTCCCTCGCAGTCGTCTTCTTCTTCTTTACCAATCCCAAACGCCAATACTCCCACCTTCCGGTTGCCGAGCGGCTCAAGAACATTGACATTGCCGGCGCCATATTCCTCATCTGCGCCATTGTCAGTCTGCTTCTGGCACTGCAATGGGGCGGCTTCTCTTACCCTTGGAGTAACTCCAAAGTATGGGGTACATTGCTGAGCTTTGGCCTGCTCATCACCGTCTTCATTGCTCTACAGATTCGACAAAAAGAACGCGCCACAATCCCTCTCCGTGTTTTTACTCAACGTACCGTACTCGTTAGTTGCTTATACTCGGCCTTGCTGTCCATGGCCTTGTATACGTAAGCACCACCCATGATCCCTACCTACACATCTAACGTAATCATGGCTGACTCGTGCTAGCCACATCTTCTACCTGCCCTTCTACTTCCAAGCAATCAAAGGCACCTCGGCCGAGGAATCAGGTATCCGCACCATCGCATACCTCGTCAGCATCACCTGTTCCTCCATTGTCATCGGCAGCCTGATCACCATTGTCGGGTGGTATGCACCCTTCATGTGGTTCGGCAGCGCTATTTTCGCCGTCGGAGCCGGCATGTTGTACACACTCAAAGTCGGCTCCCCCGCCGGCCAATGGATCGGCTACCAAATCCTCGCTGGTATCGGCGCCGGCGCTGGCGTGCAGATTCCTTTTATTGCCGTGCAGGTCGTCACAAACGAAAAGGACATGCCGTCCGCAAACGCATGCGTCATGTTTTTCAATTCCCTCGGCGGCGCCCTATCCATCTCCATTGCACAGAACATCTTTGTCAATTCCCTGACAAAGGAAATCCCAAAGTATGCCCCTGGTATTGATGCTAGGGTCGTTGCCCACGCAGGCGCCACCAACCTGAGAAACGTCGTGCCCAAGGAGCTGTTGCCGGGCGTGCTGCATGGATACAACAATTCCATTGTTACGGCGTTTATACTCGCCATCGCAACCAGTGGTATTGCGTTTTTCGTGAGCCTGGGCATGGAGCAGAAGAGTGTCAAGGGGAAGAAGATTATGGCGGCTGGTGGAGCGTAATTCCAGGCCAAGAGGCCGATACTTACATGAAGCATGATACTCATGGTCTGGTCCAAATCTGCAACGCATTTAACCCAACCATAGACCGTTTTCTTTTAATACATAGATTTCTGAGTGTGATGAGTCGCTCAAAGAGTTTTTTGTTTTTTGAAAACAGAAACATAATTTAATAATAACAATGACGAAAGAACATGTCCAATACACAGAGAACATGACACCAAAGTCCTCTCAAAGCCGCCTCCTCCAACTCCAGTGTTCCTGCAAATCCTCCATCAAGCTATCCCAGATGGCCAAATTACGAGTCCACTTTCCATCCTTCATCAGAATGGCTTCTTTCGCTTTCTCCGCATACAACATGGCCATGTTGGCGTCGCCCACAGCGCTATACGCCAACGCCGCAAAGCCGTACGCCATGTCCATGAACCCCTCGAGCCCTTCTTCCTCGTACAGCGTTAGCAGGTGCTCGGCCATTTCCGGCGACCCGGCCGAAGAAGGTGACCAGTCGTTGAGCTGCGACTGCAGGCCACTCATTTCAGAGAGCTTCGTGTTGGTGTCTGCCGACGTGCACCGCCGGCAGGTACACGTAAAGTGGAAGCCACTCTCGAGGTGTTGTTGCCGGGTTTCTGTAGGCTCGAGCGGTGAGGTATCTAGCATGCATACTTAGTAGTGTCATGAGATTGGAAAAGCAAAACCTACTTACATGAGATTGTGATTTCCTCGCCTTTACTAATAGGCCGTGTAACGCGCACCACGTGCGTCAATAGCTCCGTGTCAATGACATACTGCGCACTGTCACTGTTAGTCAGCCCTTGACCATCCTTTTTTTTCGTGTTTTCGAAAATCACAGGCCGAAATAATCATAAGAGAAAAAAAAACTCACTTGGGCGCACACGCATGATTCAGCCGACTCGTCTCGGGCCAAACAGCCAAATGGTTCACGCCCCCAATCATGACCTGGAACGTATTCGCCTTGACGACATCCTGCACTTTTACTCTGGGGTCCCCGTACACAGTCGCCAAGTTGAGAAACTTGTCCTTGAGGTGCACGGGTAGCTGCTCAATTGCCGTGCGCCACAACGCCTCACGGTCCAGCGTCGAGAGCTCGGATTCCAGGTACGCGACGAATGCCGGCGTGTAGGCAGTCACGCGGTCTCCGAATTTCAGCGGCCGCGATGCAAGCATGCCTATGCCTTTTTCCGCGATCGAAGTGGTGTGGTAGGCATGTGTGTCTTCATTGATGGCCTCGGGTTTTAGGGCCAGGGGGTCGCGGAAGGCGGGCAGAGAGGCGAATTCCTGGGCTAGCTTGCGCGTGGTGAAGATGGAGATGCCGCGATTATCGGCAAAGGAGGCGTCGGTGTAGACGCAGAGCGTGTCGTTGATGCTTTGCAGCGTGCGCGTGCAGACTGGTGCGTGGGTCCATGGCGCATAGCCTCTTGTCTCTTTCTCCACGTGCGCCTTTGCATCTCGGGATCCCAGCTCTTCAACACATGATGCGTATTCTTTCAGGCCATCGAGAGACGTCTGAAGCTCAGCTGTGTACAGCGGACTTTTACTCCAGCAGTGCCAACCCCAGGCTAGCCGTGAAGCACATGTTGTCACCAAAAGTGGTTGCGAAAATGCACCGATACGCATTTTGATATAGATGTGGACAAGGAAGTAAGTAGTGAGCTAAAAGTTGCCGCTCTCAGAGATTGCATAGTGACGGTGAGTAAACGTGGAAGTTGGCCATGTCGTGACAAAGGCGAGACGCAACATGTTTGGCCCTGTCGCTAAGTTTAGAAGCGCCGAGTCCCTCGGCTTACTGTACACATGAGATGAGCATTCCTCTAAGCGCGACTTGGTCTAGCAAAGGGAACCTGGGTATTTGAACTTATCAGAATAACCTAAACACCTAACAATGCTATAAGGCGTCTTGCAGACCAATGCACTCTTGCTCCGCGGCTAGCCAACTAACTTTTAGTCTCTCACAAGGCTGTATCTGCAATCCATCGCACCGCAATCAAATATATAAACAGTAGTGTGCGCCTCATGCTGCATCGCCATTGGCCTCGCCTTCGGAGCTGCGCTTCTTCTTCTTCTTCTTCTCCTTGCCTTCGCCCTCTTCCCGCTTCCGTTTCTTCTTCTTCTTTTCCCCGTCTTCTTCTGGCGCTACGTACTCGGCCATCCTCTCTTTCCTCTTTGCATCCATCTTTTCCTTCATCTTCTCCTCTCTCTCTTCCCGTGCTTTCCTCTCCTTCGCATGCTTGCCCAAGAAGTACTCTCCGCTCTCGATCTGCAAGTCAACCTTGCTCTTCTCTTGAGGCGGTGGGAATGGCGTGTACGGTTTCTTCGACTTGTCATTGACCTTGTGCGGCACGCGACGCTTGCTGAGAGAGCGCTTCTTGAAATTTGGCAGGAAGCGATCCCAGCTCTCGTTGGCGAGTTCGGGATCCTTGGCAAGTTCTTTCTTGATCATGAGCTCTTTTATGGCATAGATGGGATGGATGTTGTGCATTGTATCCTCGATAATGCGCCGCACTTGCTTGAGTCCCTTGTACGGGCCCATGCACGCCACGGTGTTTCCCTGTACCAGTAGATAACACTCGGTAAGCAATTCCAGCGCCTTGAGCGTCGATCCATTCGGCCCCAAAATACGCTGTCTCCTCTTGACGAATCGTTCTTTGTTGCCCACCAGGTTCCGTATCTTGATAATGTCCATGGCTACGTCGTCTTCAAGAATCTTGATAGCTTGTGGAGCAGGTACGCTTCGAGCAAGCAGCTTTATGAGATCGCGCGCATTCAGAATTGCCGCTGGATCGTAAGTCTTCTGTGTCGTCCATACTGTCATGGAACCCTCGACCAAGTTGAGCTCGCATCCGATGCCGAGCTTTTGCAGCGCTTGTGTGATGAACTTCCATGAGCCTTTGAGGTACTGCTCGCGATACTTGGGAAAGAGGGTGCTGAAGCGGGACTCGTCGGTAAAGGCGCCCGCCTTGTTGTCTTCAGGCTTGAAGGGCTCGATCTGTGCAAATGTCAGACTCTGGCGGATGCGGGCCTGAATTCTCGTCGCAAACGCACCTTCCACTTGTCTATGTCATCTGTGTCCCAGGGCTTGTCCACATTATGCGTCGACGGCATTGTGAGAGTTTTGTACGCGGCGGCTGGCGATGAAGTGCCGAGTTGCGGGTGGTAACTTTTCGAAAAGTTGCGCGCGCGAAGATCAGTTCGCGCTAGATTCTGCCACCGCCTTTCCTTAGCTCAAGCTCGGATGTTGCCGCGCGAATCCGCCACCCTTCATGTGGCGTGCTCTCACACTTCTCATCGACTTGGGCTAAAAGGTATGTCTCGCATGGTGACCTAGACGGCAGCAATCACCTGGCTTCTCCTGTAGGAGAGGAAGAGATGTAGCTTGTTTCTACGACAATCCACGCAATCACCGCCTGTCGATGCATCAAACAAGCATTCTCGAAAGCAGACTCCAGTTGGACCGAACAGAATCAGATGATTCGCAAGAGCAGGGTGCTTAATTCGACATGCCAAATTCTAGGGATCTATAATACAAGAGCAGGATCAAACTGCATAAACCTAATGTGCAACTAGAATCTAGATCGCAGTGGCGCTCGTGGATTCATCAGCAGCAACACCCCTCTTCTGCTTTTGCACATGTCCATCAAGTGGGGCGTCCAATCCGAGACGCTCACGGGTAGAGTAGGCTTGGATACCGCCGTGAGGGTCGGCTTCCGTAATGAGCTCTTTGCGGCGAGTGTCAACAAGCAGACGGATGAGATCGGGGCGCATGTAGTGGCCTGAAAAGTCGGCTAGCGCCTTGGTCAAGTGACACTCATTCAAATCAATCTATTACATGTCAGTAATCAAGCAGGCCAAGGCGTCAGGAACTGGTACATACGTCGACAAAAAGGAGTCCGTCAAAGTCTTTGTCAGGCTTACTCACAAGCGTACCGTCAGGCTTGTAGATGCGTGCATGGCCGTTGTAGGTTGTAGGGTCTGTTTCGGGCTCGACACCTTCAGGGGTGTTCTTCTTCAAGCCCTCCACACTTAGTCTCTGGAACGGAGCAAGAGTCCAAGTGCCAGTCTCGATCGCATAAGCCGGCGTAACCAGGTCCGAGGCGGGATCCGCAACATTAGTGGCAGGGTCTGGGTACTTCAGAGTCTCTTTGCCGGGATACACCGGCCATGCGGCAATGTGAATCTGCTCACCCTCAGAGACATTGAGCGACTTGAGGAAGGGATTCATGTTCTCCCAGCAGTTCAGCTGACCGAGACGGCCGAGTTCAGTTTGAGTAACAGACTTGAACGTGTCACCGGCACCGTCGCCGTATACCAGCTTCTCGACATGAGTAGGCTTGATCTTTCGGCGGTGGTTGATGACCTCGCCAGTTGGGTCAATCAAAGTCTGGGTAAGGTACAGAGTGGCGTGATCAATCTCGGAGAAACCAAGAGAGACATAGCTGCAACGTGTTAGCGATGCTTACTAGTGCAGAAATTCTGACCTACATCTGGTTGTCCCTAGCAGCGCGACGGATACGCCGAAACTCCTCAGAGTCGATTGGAAGAGAGTTCTCGCGATACTTCTTCAGCATGGGAAGAGACTGCTGGTAGTTGACCTTCCACATCCAATAAGGATAACCAGGGATCCAGACTTCTGGGAAGGCAATGAGCTTGCATCCAGCCTCGCCGGCCTCTTTGATGAAGTTGATGGTCTTTTGAACACCAGCCTCGAGGTCGAACCAGCATGGCTCAGAGGTGACCTTGTGTTCAATCAGTCTGGTATCGTTTGTACAGTATTTGCTTCAAGACATACGGCAGCGGCCTTGTACTTGGTAAGAGGCATGATTGAAGATTTTTGGAGTCAGAGTTAAAGGGGTTGATGGTGAATGTGTAGCTGTGATCTAGGAATTGCTTTGATCTGTGATGGCTCAATCTGTGAGGCATCAAAGGGCTTAAATATCATCGCCACAAGACGGATACACGCATCATCTTACACTATACACGATCATATGGCTGCGTCTCGACGCTCGTCGTTTGTCATTGCATGCACTGTGAACGTTTTTCCCACAAACGGCACATGGATTCTCCCGACATGGGGTGATATCGGCGACACAGACAAGACATGAGCATCCGGGAGCACCCGTAAATACAGGGTAGTATAGCATAACAGTGGGTTGAAGTTGAACAACGATGCGCAATGGGTCCACAGATGAGGCTGCACCATGTCACGACGTCTTCGGCATGTTGCCGATGCAATGCCGCAGAAGCCGAAACGCAGCGTTGGGGATGCCGACCGCCGCCTTTCCCCACCATAGCCGCCGCGCATTGCACTCACAAGCTTTTTCGGTGCGCCATGGCCGACCAAGACGAAGACATCTCGCATTTGCGCGCGCCTGATGCAACAGATTACGATCCCACCGAGGAAGCGCAAGACTTTCGACTTCTCGAGAAATTGACGTGCGTCATGTCGCATGCAGAGCTTGCACTTTCTCCCCCACAATGCTGATACTTGGGCGACAGAGCACAAGATAGCGCGCACCCAACACTACCAAAGCGCGGCGAGAAGGACTTTGAGAGCCATGAGACAAACCTGCAGCTAGACACGCTCGAGGCCTCGCGTCGGGCCATGCATGGCGTCCTGTCATGGCAACGCACACACACGCAGAAGGGTCATGTCCTAGCCATGTACGACCCGGAGAGCAACATGGCTTGCGTAGATAAAGTCAAGTCACAGCACTTCCAGACCATAGGTACAAACAAGGGTGGAAAAGAATGGCTGCTGCCAGAGGAGGCGTTGTTCTTACTGGAACGAGGAACTCTAGACTGTCGTTGGCCGGTCAAGCGCGAGGTCGGCGACAAGACTGTATACCGGACCGAAGATGGCGCGCCCATGAGTTTGCAATCGGCTTATGCAGCATTTATCGGGTTCGAGGGAGGGGTTGGTGGGAAGCTGACGTTGGAGATGTACAATGTATATGCGGGCCTGAAAAGGTCGGGCTATGTCATCTTCAGGACGGGATCATGGGACGGTGACCGAGGAGAGATTGTGAACGCGCAGCCAAAGCCTGACGAGCAGAAGCAGTCAGGCCCTGGAATCATTACGCGCTTCTTTGCTGAGATGTGGCGACGACTCAGCCAGCCCACGCACACCATTTCGCCAGAAAACTTGGCCTTTGGACCGCTCATTAAGCCTGGATTGTTCAGGAGCTACAATGACATCTATCGGCTTCTCAAGTTAATCCCAACACATGATCGTACGGCACCACCGTCATTCATTCTGCCTCCCTCTAGCGACAACCCTTACCGCGTTCACTTTGACGTCTACCGCACGACTGCCAAATTCCGCAAGTCAGCTCGCGGACCCCCAGACTTTCGCATTTGCGTCATTGATGCACGCACAACGCCGATCCCGACAGGTGCCCAGCTGAACGACCTCATGGCACAGTTACCAGAGGATCGACTAAAGGAGTCAGACCAACCTTACCAAAAGCTAAAGCATGGCAGTAGAAATGTGGTACTGGCTGTGGTAGATAACGGCATTCCAAGCTACATCAGGGTTGCTGACAGTCCGTTTGATCAAGTCAAGGTATACGAGAGGGCAGGACCAAGATCGAAGGGTGGGCGAGGTCGTGGCGGAGGCCGAGGTAGAGGCCGAGGAAGGGGAAGGGGGCGATGAGCCAGATGCGATCAAGAAAACCGAGATTCATGATTGCGAGTCACGCCGTGATGTTGATGAGACGGAATGACCATATCCTGATGGATCACCAGGGTCTGCAGCTAGATTGGCTGCTTCGATAGATGTGCGCAAGGAGCCACACCCGCAGTCCTTCCTTGCATGGAGGATAGCATGCAGCCATACTTCCATTGATGTGGTAAGAAAGAGGGTCTTGACCGACTATCTACCCGTCAAGGATATCCAATGAAATATGTACAGCATCTTTCAATCAGCCAAGATGAATCGTGAAAGGTTGCATGGATATTTTTGCTTCAGTCGCAGTTTGCGATAGAATGTGTGTAATGTATGTACACACTTGACAAGTCATTGACATTGCACGACATGTTGTTGGCTGCATGAGGATTCACGCGTACAGCGATATAGACCCTCAGATCTCCTCGCGCCCAAACTAGAGCGTTGACTAACACAGCTTTGAGAATAAACATAACCTGTCATGGGATGCAATGCAAACTATGCCTAGTATGGTCATGCGCCATGTCGATCTCGTACATATATCGGGGCGTAATCATCAGTAAGACCCTCGATGTCTGACGTCTGATGCAAACCTAACAAACAGTGAGTATTCCAGAATCCGACGGGCAACCTCCTCGGGCATCCTTCGGAAAACCGAAAGTGGAGTCCAACAGCGGAAACTAAATCTCATACTGTCTGCTGCCCGCTTTTTTTCTGGGGAGGTGAAGCGCGCCGCCGATTGCTGCATATGACATCCAGAGCTTGATAGGAAAAACTATAGACCGAGATATCCAGTTGTATCCGTATCTTGTGTGAATAGTATCATGCTGCGGGTACTGAGTAGCAGTATTGACAGATGATTGGTAGGATTAGACGTTGCATGGTGATAGTGTGCGGACGGACCCGACGGGAAAGACTTAGTGGTCAAAGCTAGAGTTTGACAATAGCTTTGTTCAATTGGTTCATGTCTAATCAGTCGCAATACTCGTTTCGTAATCTATGCATGTAGTGTTGTCGGTATCCCATCCATGTAAGATGTCGTGAGCCAAAGCATGTAAAGTTTGGTACACGCGTTGCTCTTTTACCAACATGACAAAATTGGGTGAGAAGCAGACCTCTTAGCCTTGCAAAAATCGTCAGCGACGATTTGAAAGAGGCACGTGTATGGTTCATAATCTTATTTTTGGGTGACATGGTGCAAAAGACCTGCGCAGACGCTCTCCATATTCATTTCGACAGCTGTCTAAGTCTCCGAATCGGATTGAGCGGCGCTACGCGGAGCCCCGGCGCTGTCGGAGCTTAGGTAGCTCGAGACAATGTGTGCCAACGAGGCAGTGGCAGGTTGAAGATGCCATAATTGTGTGTTCAACAGTGGCCTATGCCTTGGTGTTTGCTGGCTGCTTGAAGTATTTGCTTGGGACAAAGGGCATCTTTGTCACAACAGCCTTTCGCTTCTTACCACGAATCACAACCTCGACTTCGGTCCCTGCCTTGTGCATACCATCTTTGATGTACCCCATAGCAATGTTCTTCTTGATGGTGGGCGAGGGACAGCCGGAGGTGACGGTGCCAATTTTTTCGCCGGCGTCGTCTACAATCTCAGCGCCTTCTCGGGCAGGCGATCCCTCAACAATAAGGCCGACTCGGCGACGTGATACACCGCCGCCTTCAGACTTTTTCTTCAACTGCTGCAAGATAACGGAATCACCCAGGAAGCCACCATTGGCGCGGCGGTCTTTGCCGATGATCCAGGAAAGGCCGGCCTCAACGGGGGTTGTGGTGTCGTCCAGGTCATGACCGTAAAGGCACATGCCTGCCTCCAATCGCAGGGTATCACGCGCACCTAGACCTGCAAACCGTAACTCTTCTTTGGCCGAGTCGAGCAGATACTGAGTGACGGCTTCTGTGGCATACGGGGGGATGCTGATCTCGAAGCCGTCTTCACCAGTATAGCCACCACGACTGACAAGCACCTCGGCATCAGTACCCTTGATTGTCGCAGTGGTACACTGGCCGAAGTAGAGAGATTCGAGGTCCTTTTTCGACTTGTCGTCTAGCACGCGGGATAGTATCTCGGCGGATAGGGGACCCTGAAGGGCAACAAGGCCCTGTCCATCCAGAATCTTCCACTCAACAGGCTGATCGGGATGCGCACTTTTCCATGCGTCGAGTTGCTTGTGGAAGTAGTCGGTGTCTTTTTCTCTGCAGCCTGCATTTGTGACGACGTAGAATCTATCCGCGAGGCGCGTGATAACTGTGTCGTCAACGATGCCGCCAGTGGGATGCAGCAGCGTAGAGAGAGTGGACTGCTGCTTGGGTAGTGCTGAAAGGGAAGAGGGTGTGATGCTCTCGAGGAAGGCCTCGGCACCAGGGCCAGAAAAGTGGTGCTGGACCCTGCACGTGGTTAGTTCACAGTGATTGCCATTCACCACCATCGCTGCCGCCGCCGCCGCTGTCCATGGATCTTACATGTGCCCAACATCAAACAAGCTGGCTTTTTCCCGCGTCCAATTGTGCGACTCAATGATGCTCAAGTCGCTGTATTGGACCGGCATCAAGTACCCGCCAAAGGGCACGAATTTGGCGCCATGTCTGCTGTGAAGCTCATACAGGCCGGTTTTGCCCAGGTTCTCCTCGGATGCTTTTGAAGAAGCAAAGCGCGTCTGCTGTGGTGATGGTCGTGTGAAGTTGCGGGGTCGTGGGGCTAGGGCTGCGCGAGACGTAGTGGAGTAACGTGCGCTTTGTAAGCATTGGAACCTGGCAACGGGGGGTGCAAGACGGTTGATTGCTGGGCAGAGCGCAGCGGCAGCTTTCTTCGAGGCCATGCTGTGCGAGTGAGGAGCGAGAGATTGGGAGAAAGAAGGCGGGCTGCTGCTGGCTGGTCGACGGGTACTGACGGCCGTTGTATATATATGGCGGCGCGCCAATGACGCCGGCGGCCCTCTGGGTAGCTGGGGCGCGGCGCGATCCAAGCTCCGAAGCTGGATTGCATCCACGAATGCAGACATCGTTCCCATAACCGCTCATATCGCGACCCGATCGCTCCAAGACGACCGCAGCAACCATGTCCAAGGGCAGCAAGTATCTGCTGGTGTCGCTGCCGACGTCCATCTCGCCCTCGAATCACCACGACGATGCGCTGACAGCCCTGCGATCGACCGTGACCAATGACGTGGGCAACACCTCCCCATTTGCGATACCCAACTTCAAGATCGGCACCTTGGACGCCCTGGTCCAGCAGGCCGACGACCTTTCCAAGCTGAACAATGTGTGCGAGGGCGTCGTCGGCAAGGTCGGCGAGAGCCTGCGCCAGATACTCGACGGCGACGAGGCCAAGGTGCAGCAGCAGAAGACGATCAACGACAGTACGTGAGCCAGCGGGCACATGATTGGCATGCGGGAGCTCACACAGCGCAGAGCCTGTCGACCAGTATCTGCGCAACTTCCAGTGGAACAAGGTCAAGTACCGTGCGGACAAGCCCATCGCAGATCTGATCGATGCGCTGCAGAAGGTGAGGGGCACGCCGCGAGTCGGCCAGAGAGGTGGCTGACGGCATGCACAGGAGATACAGGGCATCGACAACGACGTCAAGGCCAAGTTTAGCCAGTACAACCAGACCAAGGGCGCACTCGCAGCCGCCGAACGAAAACGCACAGGCAACCTCTCGACCAAGTCGCTGGTCAATGTCGTGAACCCCAAGTCGATTATCCGCGACTCGGAATACCTCGACACGCACCTCATCGCCGTCCCCAACATGGCCGTCAAGGACTTTTACAAGTCGTACGAAGAGGTGTGCCCCATGGTCGTTCCCCGCTCCGCCACCAAGATAGCCGACGACGACGAGTTCACCCTGTTCGCCGTCACCACGTTCAAGAAGCATTCAACCGAGTTTGTGCACAAGTGCAGAGAGAAGCGGTGGACCCCGAGAGACTACACGTACAAAGAAGGCGGAAAGGAAGAGGAGGCCAAGGAAGCCGACCAACTAGCCAAGGACGAGAAGAAGCTCTGGGGTGAGGCGCTGAGGCTAGGCCGGACGGGGTACAGCGAGAGTGCCATGATCTGGATCCACGTGCTGGCACTGAGAGTGTTTGTGGAAACGGTGCTGCGGTACGGTTTGCCGCTCGATTTTGTGTGCGGCATCGTGCAGGTGAGTTTGTGGATATGGGCCGCACGGATTTCTGCATGCTAACACACGGTAGACGGACGCGAAATCAGCGAAAAAAGCAAAGACCAACCTTGACGAAGCCTACTCATACCTTGGCGGCAACGCCTTCGGCCGCGACAGCAAAGGCCGCATCAAGAAGGACGACCAAGCCATGTCAATGGACATGCAACAAGCCGGACACATGGGTGACCAGGAGTATACTGCTTATGTCTACTACGAGTTCGAGGTTGTATAGTGCGTCACGCGATTAATGCGCCATGGAGGGAAACTGTTTTACGATTTGGAGGCTTTTCGCATAAAGCAGTCGTGTATGCGGCACCCGTAGATGATTGATTGCAGTACTCTTGACCAGCCGGAAATACTGGTAGCATGCCGCCTACTTTGCTCTGCTCAGGCAACCCCTGTCTACGCCACGATTCTCATTGCATCATGAATAGCGTGTACATCAGATGACAGTATTAAAGAGTAAACACCAAACACTTGATTGCATGCTGGCTTTGTAACAGTCTGTTTTTGTCTCTTTCTCTCTCCATGACGTCAGGCAAGGGTGAGCGGCCGTTGAAGGTACCGTGCCCGGCACCGGAGCTTAGCGACCAAGACAGGCCGTTTGGCCAGAGAAGCAACGACTCCGCGCCATCCGAGGCCGCACAAGCATTCGAAAAGGGTGGCTATTCCAAAAATAGCCATGGGGCTAGAAGCTTCGCCGTACCTGAGGAGATGGACTCCGCCTGCACCCGACGACAAATGCAGCCAGCAAAGTTACGGCGTCACCGAAGTCGCCTCTCATGCTGCAACCAACAAGGCCAGAGGATGCCGAAACTCTGAAGAAGCCGCAGAAGCGGACGAAAACATGTTGCACACTCCAATTGCATTGGAGCGGTGCCTTTGATGTTTTGGCGCAGAGATTCGCCGACCGACACGCATATGGCCAAGGTACGCTTGTGTGTAAGTAGTGGAAAATGACTAACAAGAACAGCCAAGCTACTAGCCACTCGAGTTCACAGATTTCATGCACGAGTACGAGTTGCACAGCCGTATCGTTCAGAGTGGCTGCTTGGTGCCAGTCATCCCTTTGGATTACAGTAAGCGATCCAAGGAGTGGTACGATGTTTCGGATGCGTTGGCCTTGGCCAGAGTTGCCATTTGGCATGCTGGCCCTGGATAGACGCCCTCGCCATCAAACAGAAGGGCACCACTGAGCGCACCCGACAGGTGGTGCGCATGGGAGACATGTACGACAATGCTCGTTTTGTTTTCTCCTCCTGTCTTGGACAAGTTACCGAGGACATGGATTCCGTGTTTGAGTTCATCAACGGCCTGTTCACCCACACAGTGGCAACGAGGCAAACGAGTTTCATTTCCCGTCACCCAAGGACGTGGTAGGTGATGACGAGCCCGCCAAGAAGGCCATTAAACATGACCAGGTAAGTAGCGCGGTTAGGCAGTGGATTGTACAGGCTCTTGACCAGACAGTCGTTGCGAGGGGCTTGCATGTTGCAGCTAAATGACTAGCAGCTGAAATTCGATATCACCCATGTGGTAATGGTTTGCGTAGGAAGTTGCGTATGCATCTAACCCACTGACACTTGTTAGTCGTCATCAGAAGATCACAGTCGGCCTTGCCGCATGGCCCGAGACTGACCGGACAGGTGGAAAAAGCAGGCCCATGGCCAGGAGAGATTGACCCCGCCATGTAGTAAGTCCTCGCACGACGCGCTGGACATGCTAGGGGCAGTGGAAACGACGGAACAAAACTGTGCGTTCTATGATGCAACACGGCAGCGCAGTGTGTCGGTCACGGCTAGCTGTTGCGTCGGCAAAGATTACGCACTATTGACGCCAATGCCATGAGGCCATGATCAACGAGGGAGTATGGATTGCGCAGACGGCGGTGTAACACGTAACGCACTTACAAATGGCCTTGGTCCAAGTACTACCGCAGGTGTATACTGAAAAGCACAAACAGCATTGTGATTGCACCGGGCTCCTTGTCGATCGAATAAGCACCGTTTTGGGGGATGCCGCCGAAAGGGTGAAAGAGGCAGTATTTCCGCGCTGTGACCCCGCATCGTGTTGGGTAGGCATAAGCGAGGTTGGTGGGTACTTCCGAACCCATGGCTCCAAGGCATTGCAATGTACATGTAGAGTAATCCACGACGACGCTCTGCACTGTTCCACGGCGACAGTGGTGATGCATGACCACATGGCGCCGGATGCAACCCGGACGAAATACCAGCAGCACATGACGCGCACACAGCTAAGACTGGGCTGTCCAGGCATGTCACTTACTACGTTTGGGGCTGCCAGCCGACCGAGGCCTGGAACAGGGTGAAGAACGTTTTGCGCGGACGAAGGGCCATTTATCCCCGACAATGGCTACATGGGTCTCGTTTCCGCTCATGCTTACCTATACACTTACGTACGTTGCCGACCAATACATGACATGCCCAAGGATGCATCTTGGCATTTCGCCATTGTGACAGCCTGTTGTGCTTGGCAAAAAAAAACATGACAGAAACCTCATGCGTCGTGGGAACGTGTTTCGTCCAAGGCTGAAGGGAGGACGAGCGGCTCGAGACCACGACGGGTGCAGACTCATCGACACAGTTTTGGCATGCAATTTCGAGGACGGAGCACAAGCTTGCAATATACCAAGGACGTTGAATTACTTAAGTATTACCGTCTTGTTCCTGGCGCCCCGGCCTCACACTAGCGATATGAACAACAAATGTTGGGATTCTCCACTTCCACTTCAATCTTGTCTGCCACTTTGCAGCTGTCCCAAGGACCTTCTCGTCTTCTCGAACCGCGCAGAAGGCGTGTGATGCGCTCAATCAAAGCTGGGTTCTCGCACGTCGTAGCCACAAAGTAGAGGGCGGGAATGCTGTCGCTGTCCAGCGTGAACATGGGTCGGCCTAGCCAGGAATCCTCGAAGCTGTACAAGGATTCGGTCATTTCGATTAGCTCGTTGTATAGCTTCAACAGCTCTGGGTTGGTGGTGTCTTCGTCTGGGAAGAGCAAAATATCCCACAGGCAGCGGCGAACGCTGAGAATCAATAGCTCTCGCTGGACTTCGGCGTTGGATTGCGAAGGGTCGAGCTGGGTCGCGATGAGTAGGTTGAAGTTGGTCTTCCATCGCTCAAACGGCTCGCACAGTTCCATCAATCGCTTCTGCAGATCGCACCCTTGACCGCCGCAATCCTGCTTGGGTGGGCTGTCCATGTACGAGGACGAGGAAGAACAAGACGAGGGGGAAGAAAAGCAGGGCGAAGTAGAGGTATAAGTAGAAGAACAAGAAGAAATGGAAGAAGCAGGAGAAGAAGATGAAGGGCATGAAGAAGAGGCAGAAGAAGGCCAGAATTCCTCATAGTCGCTAAAGGACATCTTGACGTCCAGATCCCACATGGCGTCCTTGGCTTCTGTGAGGCTGAGAAAAGGCCGCGGGCTGTCATCGAGCTCTACCAGCTGCGGGGCGTATGGTGTCATGTTGGGGATGACGTATTCGTCGGTAAGGTAGAATGCATCGACGCAGAAGCGACACAAGACTGTTGCAATCTCCTGCATGATTTGGTGCATTCGTGGTGGGGCGGATGACAAGTCGAAGGCTTCGAATAGACGTGCGCCAGCCTGCATATGACGGACGCCTTCTTCGAAGCGGCCAAAGATGTTCTCGAGGCAGACAAAGAGTAGGCAGCAGGTCATCATTGTGAGTTGGGCTTCCCAAAGGGCTGGGCCTTGGATGCCGTTCAAGCTGACCAGCTGTCCAATGGCTTTGTTGTAGAAGCTTGTGGCGACACACTCGTAATGTGACATTGATTCTTTTACGTCTGCCGGCGTGGTTTTGGAGAGCTTCTGGAGATAGACGTAATGGGCGGCGCCAAGGGCCACGATGGCGTGTCGTATGGCGGGCTCCTTGTGGCACATGGGGAGTACGCGCTGTGACCAAAACTCTTGGGGATTGGCGAGGCGAACAAATTCGACAATGGTGATGGCGCAGAAGTGGTGGAAGAAGAGTCGGTCGTAGGTGTTTCCGCCCGTGTCGCCGTCGAAACCGAAGCCTGAGTAGTTGAGGCTCGGACGACACTGGTTGACGACATTGTCTACTGCTACTGCGACGGCCTGCATGGCCTTTTTCTCTGCCATTGAATGCTTGCGGGGAGTGGGCTTCTTCTTGGGCGGGATGAATGCATAGCCATCGCACTTGACCTGGCTATCCCGGCACCGGCGACAGGTTGGCTTTTCTTCGTCACATTTCTTTCGTCGTATTCTGGAAAGCGGAAAGACAATTGGTGAGCCCATGTTCGGAGCAATACACGGACGGAGCGATTCCCGATGGTTGAGTCTTCGCACAGCCGCGTGTGGAGAAAATGAAGTAGTAGTAATAGAAGAAGAAGAAGAAGAAGAAGAAGAAGACGAAGAAGAAGAAGGAGAAGGAGAAGGAGAGCAGGATGGATTGGATTGTAGGCGCCGAGGAAAAGGCGGAAGGCTTTGGTCATGTAGGTAAGAGGCAAACACACTTACTTGCTGTGCAAAGATGTTAACAAGAGTCGACAGGATGCGAGTCAGGTGACGAGGGTGTTTGCAGTGGATCGCTGGTCAAGGCTCGGGGTTGGGAGTGGCAAAGAAAATGGGCATGGCGAGGCAGGAAGGACACATACCAGGTTATACATCCAGTGCGGACTTTGTGGGAGAAGGCACGCACTCGAGTGGTGTTTGGTTGTGGCGCAGGCGGGTCCATGGCGGGCTGATTGGACGGGGCGTACAACGGGTGGGTCAGCGAGTGAACGTGCATGGTGGTGAGAGCAGACGGTGGGTGAATCAGCCCAAGTCCTTGTAGCAGCCACAGTTTGGAGGAGATGCCAGCGACGAGAGGTTTGGCCGAGAGAGGTAAAATATGGACTCACGACGCACAAAGGGCGGCACTGTTGGACGTTTTGGAGCATTTGGACGGCCTAATGCGGTGGTATTGGCCCGGCGGTGATTGGCGGGCGCGTATAGAAAGGGCGCACGCATGGCGGGCCGGGAGAGGCGTCCACTCACGGCGCGCGCGTCCCTTTGCGGCCAAGTGCGGCTGACCGCCGCAGGGATGCCCGCCGCCGCGCCGCCAGCCCGATGGGGACTAGCCCCGCGTGCTGCGTATCCTCATGCCATGTGCCATCGTCCATGGTCCAGCACACTGACACGGCTCTGTCCATGGCGCGACATTGCAGCACGCACACGACGCGTGCCCTGCACCGCCACGCGCCCCCCGCAACGACGAGTGCAGTGCTGCCACTGCCCATACGCACTCGCGCCCACATGCATCGCCCCAGGCCGCCCGAGGCATATTACGTACTGCCCAGCAGGTAAGCTGCCGCCGCATACGTAACGGTGTAGATACAGATACCACGCCTGCCGTCTCGTCGAGCCCCGCGTCAATAACCACCACTGTACATTAATAATAGCCCTCAAACAGGCTTGCGCAACACGCGCGCCACATGCGGCACGCCTGTCATCCGTCGCTGGAGCCTGTGTATGTTTCGGCGGCCAATCAAGGCCCCTCCCGCCCTGTTTCAGGCTGCACAATGGCCAGACCGCGAGCATTGGGAACATTATGCTAACCAGCGTCCAGGCCCTGGCGCCTCGGGCCACGTGACGCGCCCCCTGGCCCCGCCGCCCGCTGTGGCAGCTGCAGCCGACACGCTCCTGCTCCCAGCACACATGCGCATCCGTGCCGACACTGACGCCCACTCGACCTGCCCGGCGCCTCCGACCCCCATGCCAAGCCCAGCCCCGCCCGCGCCATGATGGCTCCTCGCACAACACACGCTCCCGCTTCCGGCCCTGCCACACTCCATGGCTCTCTTCCACGCACCCGTCGCTTGGCAATTGTCGCATTTAGCCACATCCAGCAGTTCCTCCACTTCGCGCCCAATTCTTGCTGAGTAATGCCCACCATGTCTCTGAGCAATCTTGTCATGTACCCAACGCCGTGGCTTTATTCATATCAGGCTACTTGTGCGCGAAAAACGCTCGTGCTACCGGCCACCCGACGCATGGCCCAAGTACGCTTTCAAAGCGACTATTGCAACTGGCCACCTGGTATCAAAGTTTCTAGTTTCCATCCCATCCATCTGTCAAGACTACAGCTACCTTTTCCCTCTGGATTATAGTTGTAAACCGGCAATATGTGTCAGCTGAAATAGGCATATATTTGCAAACTAAGGGCTCTGTGATGAGGAACTTACCCAATCTTTGTAAGCCGAATCACTTCTTAGGTGTGCATTGTCAGCATAACTCTTAACCCACGCTCCACGCAGTGTACTTGTTGGTTGATTCAAGAACTGAAATTGCATCCCTCTCAAAACGCATGATCAATTCTTATGGTTGCAAAACCCGAGTCAGCCCAGGTCCTAGGAGCCTATTTCACAGATTGTAACCCAAGTCTATTGTTACACTGAAACCCTAACTATGACCCTGGAGTGATTACGCTAGACTAGTTTTTCTTAGACAGATATTACGAGAAGCAATCTTGTGGGGAACCTTGACATTGCATGACAAGAAACTGGCGACCTGAGTTTTCGATGAGGAATCAGTCTGCTGCCAAGCCTGATGCACGTGCTAGCTAGCCAATAGCCAATAGCCAATAGCCACAGCCAACAGCCAACAGCCAACAGCCAACAGCCAACAGCCAACAGCCAACAGCCAACAGCCAACAGCCAACAGCCAACAGCCAACAGCCAACAGCCAACAGCCAACAGCCAAAACAGTCCCTACACTCTACATACCCACGCCACCATTCGCTCGAATAAGGCAAGAACAGCACGAATACAATTCGGCATCCATTGTGAAGCCATTTCATTCATCGAGTCGTATTGAGTTAGGTTTGCAAGCATGTGGGCTTTGCATAAAGAAATCGAGGCCATGTGTCGGCATACACAGTATCATGGAGATACCCAATAAGCTCTCCAATCACAGCAACAATGACCATTGTATCTCCACCACCCCCACCCGGTGCGCTTCATAGGTCCTCCT